CTTTGCCTGCAGTGCACTCACACAGAAGGGAAAACTGAAACTCAGGATGGTTCCTTTTTAGCAGTGTTGGGATCAAACCCAAGGCCTTGCACATGTTCACAAGTTGTTTTTAAGAAGCAAAAGAACTCCACATAAGAGGTACAAATGGTCAGTAAACCCCTGAAAATGCTGAATTTTACTGACTCAGAAGGAAGCATTAAAAATAGCACCGACTCATCAATATCCAAGATTAGATGCAGCACTTGAGAGGATTAGGGTAAGATAGCATTCGCCAGCAAGCAGCTCATGCCTGTAGCTCCAGTTACTCAGGAGGCTCACTTTCTCCCAGAGCTCAAGACCAGCCTGGGCAGTGTAGTGACCTCATCTCTAAAATAAAGTGGAATGAAAAGTTAAGCTGTGGCCTGGAGGGGGGTCCGTGAGTGAAGAGATCATTGCTGAGGCCTGAGTTCCATTCTCTGGGTCCACATGGTGGAAGGAGCCATCTGACTCTCGAAGGCTGACCTCTCACCTCCACACATGTGCGCACACACACACACACACACACACACAAAATTAAAAGTGTAAAAATTTTTAAGTTAAGCTGCTCGAAGGATATTTATTCACAAACATTTTACATAGCATTACTCATAAGATTGTGAGATAAATTATAAAGAATAATTTGTAAAAACTACTAGCTTTAACAGCTCCAGGAAGCCCTTACAGATAACAGAGATAATTGGTAGCACATAAAGCAACATGGATGCTACAAAGACACAGGGAAATGCGCTCATAGATGGATGTGATCCTAACGGCAGAGCATGAGACGAGATGAGTTCACTGCCCACTTCACCCAGCTATGGGTGATTTTTAATCTTTCTCCACACTTCGATGTTTGGACAGTTTTGAAACCAGCATGTATCCCTTTCTTACAAGCGGGAAGATGTTCACCTAAAAGTGGCCCCAGTGACTCAGCAGCCTCTTGCTCTTTGGAGGAAGCACAGGCTTACCATTACAGGAGACCAGGGTCCTTTTTTTGCGGAGGCTAGGATTGCTAGGGCTGTCAGAAAACCAGAACACAGGGTAAGCTGTTGGGGCAGCCAAAAGAGTGTCCTCAGGTTTCCAACTAAATAGACGGGTACTACAATAGGGGAGCTGAGGGGTGGGGGCTGGTCACCAGCCTCACAAGTGTGCATTTCCAGTAGGAAGCAAGGCGGACATCCCAACACTGCTGGTGAAAATGCAAGTCACAGACAGAGCCCCTCAGGATGCTCAGCTGTCTTGCTGACGTGTAGCACACGGTGTAAACCTAAGGACACCAGAGGGCATTTCCATTCATTCATTTAAAAAAAAAAACCCTGCCAACATAAGATAGATGAAGACTGTGCCTCGGGAACACTGCATTCTATACACCCCAGCTTCTGGTCTGCTCAAGGGAGTTGGAGAGTGGCTGCGTGGGGGCACAGCCTGAGCAGAGAAGCTCCATCACAAAAAACCAAGCCCAGAAGACAAAGAGGCCTGAGCCCCAGTGATCCAAATTCTAAGACATACACAGTAGAGAGCCTTGGGTGCTAGGCATCGGAGCTAGGGCAGAACCCTGCCTCTGAGGGCAGGGCAGGGCAGAGCAAAGTCAGGATAGGCCTTCTGCACATGCCCAGGACTGTGCTCCCTCCCCTCCAGTTTTTATTTGCTCTGCTCTCCATCGTAAACTTCAGAATGTCAGGTGTGGTGGCACAGGCTCGTAATCACAGAATTTCAGAAGATAGGACAGGAGAATGACAGGCTTTGATGCCAACTTGGGCTACATAGACTCTTATTTCAGAACAGGGCAAAACAAAGCAACTGTTACACCCAGTTCGAGAGCACCCAAAAGATCTACAGGAATTGCCTCTGTTGCAAAACACATGAGGGTCTTTTTATTGTAAATTACAAACTGCAGCTTGGGCCCACAACACCCACCGCTGAAGCAGTGGGAGCCGAGCGCACCTTAAAGATCCTGGTCCCTCCCAGCATGCCCAAGGCAGGGGCGATTCCTGCCTGGCAAGCATCTATTGGTCAAAATGCTACATTTTGAATTGATTGGCTATAGAAAGGTCCCCAGACCATAAAGACCTGGTGTCCCTCCCTAGGGGGATGGGCCAGTTTCCTAGCAACTGTTATCTCTAGTGGGTGGGGAAAGAATGAAGTAAGGCGGTCCTTCTCCTCAGGGCATTACTGGACTTCTCCACCCACCTACTTCAGGTCTTAATAATAGCTGCTAATTTATCTTTTGGTCTCCCACAACCAACCAAAACGTCAGTTGGGAGAAAATGAAGCCACAAAGGCTCCTGGTACCAGGTAGGGGCTGTGCTGAGGTGCTACAGCCTCCTCTGAGAAGCCAAGTTCAATGTCGGACAGAGCTTTAAGGGTAGTTTGTTTAACCAAAATACACATGATTCAAGCCTCCTGGTTTTCATCCTGGTTCCTGGTTGTTTCCTGGGTGGTGCAGGCTGGGCGGGCCTTATTTCCCACAGCAAGTCTGGATAAATAGGGCCGAACACCCAGGAACCCACCCAACGTCCTCTAAAAACACACAGACTGTGCAAAAATTTGCTAAATGGGCCAAACCATTCAAAATATGTTGGCAATTTCTCCATACCATGGCTACATGAATCAGTATTTCATCCTTTGCACTCAGTGACATATGGACTCAAGCTGCCTTTTTACAGTCTTGACAAACCCTTCTGTGGCATCACTGTTTCAAGAATTCCCAGTCCATTCAAACAAGGCATCCTTGGCTCCAGCCTCCTAAAAAGAGCCAGAGCTGCTTCTGAGATGGTCCCTGCTGGGCCCCTCTGGAAGGGGAGCCACCATGAGAGCCAGGAACTGGACAGGCTACTCAGTGCGGTTAGGTGCTGGGGGAGGCAGTGTGGATTCAGACCTAAGTGTTCTGACCAATGAATCAATATTGTGCCATATATTCAAGGCCTTTGAAAAGGATTCCTCCTTTCTCCCACTTCCCACTCTGCTGGAGCCCACCGGCAGAGTCGCACAGTTCCTGAGTGGGGAGTGAGGATGAAATAATTAAAGCACTACCCTCGGGATCGGCTCGGGAGGGCTGTCAGTAAGGCTGCAGCAGCCTGAGTTTATTCCATAACTCCTTTTTTATAGGCAAAGCAAAACCCAGTCACATCAATATAAGAAAGAAGTGTGTGGAACTGCCAAACTTGTTTTCTAAAACTACTTCCCTGTAGCAAATATGGTTCAAGGTCACATAAACAAATTTTAAAGAACTTGGCAAAACTTCCTCTTTTCTCTTCTCTCTCTCTCTCTCTCTCTCTCTCTCTCTCTCTCTCTCAACGTGAAGGCCAGGGTGAAAACATATTTTTCGATAAATAACAAAGCAGCTTGAAAAACAAGCAGCTCTCCACACCCTACCCTGCTCCTTTAGGTATTCTCTCTTAATTCCCTTTTGTTCTTGTAAAACAAAGGAGATGCTCAGACAGGATTCCACTGTCTTCCCCTCCACTGTGTGACAGGAGCTGTTCCTCAAAGGAGTCCCCTGAAAAGCTGATCCACAGGGTCTGTGGGTCCTTCCCCTGAGGCACCAATGCTGGGAAGTACCTAGGTCTGTGGATTAGGCCCACGGGACTTGGCATCTGGGCCGTGGTGCTTGTGTCTCACAAGGTTCCCAGCTCTGTATTCCTAGTCACTGCTGGTGTAAATACTTGTTTCACTCCTTAATGGAAAATGCACACAGGCAGCATGTAGACCACCGATGTAGAGGCAACTGGGAAAATCCCTTCTGAATAAAAAAAAATAATAATAAAAAGATATTTCTAAGTAACTACTGTAGTAAGATAGGCACTTTTAAGTACACCTAAAAGATGGCATTAACAAGTTTTCTGCAGATCCATCTGCTAAGATCACTAAGACACTGACACAAACAGCTGAGGGGAATTGCGTTTGAATTGAGTTTCTTGTGTGTATGTGTGTTTCTTTTCTTTTATCTTCCTTATTATTTACTTATTTTTAAGACAGGGTCTCTCTACATAGCCCTGGCTATCCTGGAACTCACAGTGTAGACCAGACTGCCCTCTAACTCTGAGATCTACCTGCCTCTGTGCTAGAATCAAAGGCGTGGGCTGCCATACCTGACCTATGAATTAAATATTATGTAACCATTAATCATACTTTGAAAAATAGTTCAACAACTATGAAAAATGGCCACAATGGTCAGTGAAAATCATTGTTTACCTATATGCTTTAAAAAATACACACAGGGAAATATTTCCAGAATATGAATAGTGGTTTTACTAGGGTTGGTAGGATAGAGTTATGTTAAATTTTTTTCTTTAAAAATATTTCCATAATTTCCTAGAATTATTATTACTGTTGTTATAGGGAGGTAGACAGGTATGTTTTAAAATCAGCAGCATATATGGTGTGATTTCATCACAGGAGAAGTTCAGTTCCCCAAACAGGGCAGGACACACCCTCCCCACCCTCCCCTCCCTCCCGTCCAACCAGCTGAACCACAGAGCTCTGCTGATTGTGCACACCAGAACACAGGCATGGATTTGGCTGACTTGTGGCCTAGTTGGGTAGTTTCTTCAGTTCCCCAGTGGCTGTCAGCAGTGAGGTGAGAGAGCTCAGGCTCGGTCAAGCCTGCAACACCAGCCTCCAGCGAACAGCAGGCGTGCCCTTCACTTCCCCACCCACCACCTACTTCCAACCCACCTCCTCCAGGATCTGAGGCACTCCCTAGCAGTGATACAGTGGCTTGTGGTATCTGTGCCTCTGTAGAGCCTTTCACCTGAGGGCTCTGGCTCAGGGTGCTTCAGGCTCCCACAGTGCCCAGGAAAGACAGTGCCTTCTGACCTCCAACCTGAGTATCTGACCTCAGTGGACCACTGAGGCTCAGTTTGTGGGACCTGACTGTGACTTGGGACTTCCTGTCTGGGTGAGGGCAGAAAGAACAAGAGCTTGTAAACACAAAGGCCTGAGGGAAGGGATGGATACTCACTGGTGTGGCCTTTTTCCAGGTCCCTCTGCAACAGCAGAAGAAATGGCCATCTTCAGGCCATGGCGGAGCAACTGCTTGCCCTTCCTGGGCATCATGATCCTCATGGCTGTGGTCCTCTCCCTGATGTTCTACGCTCTCCTCTGGAAGGCTGGCAACCTCGCTGACCTACCTAACCTGAGAATCGGCTTCTACAACTTCTGTCTGTGGAAGGAGAACATTGGCTCCCTAGAGTGTTACAACTTTCCTGAGCTGGAGGTGCTGGGGGTTTCTCAGGTTGGCCTAGCCCTGGCCAGGCTTTGTGTGTATGGGGCCCTGGTCCTCACAATCTTTGTTCCTCTGCCTCTCCTCCTTGCCCAGTGCAACAGTGATGAGGGAGAGTGGCAGCTAGCCATGGGCTTTCTGGTGACATCCTCTGTTCTGATGGCCAGTGGACTAAGCCTCTTCCTTTCCTATGTGTGGAAGTGGCTCAGGCTCTCCTTCCTGGGGCCTGGCTTTCTAGCTCTGTGCCTAGCCCAGGTCTTACTCATCTTCTTGATTATAGCCATAGTTATGTTGCCTCCACGAGATAAGAAGGACAAGAGCAAGTGGGAGAGCTGTTAGTTAGTCTAAAGGCTCATGGGATTACTAGGGTTCGGTTCCAACTGTGCTCCAGGAAGTGCCAGAGAACCCGTGGCTGGGTGGGTCCTCCCACCACCTCGATTCATAGCTAAGGTTGATCTCTAGCTCAGGCAGACTGAGCCACCCACTGAGCAGAAGGGCTGCAGTGTCAAGGAGCCCAGAGGCGGCTGGGGGCTGGGGCAGCTTCTTTGTGAAGAAGTCTTGCCTTCCTGACTCTGGAGACTCTAAAAAAAACCATGTAGCCCATCAGCACATGGATTTCTGCTTTAATCAACCAATCTGAGCAGTCCTCACTGTAGCCCCTAGGCAGGTGGGAGAGCCTGACTGTCAGAGCCAAAGCTGATTTGGCAAAGTGTGAACTCTGTGATGGTTATGGCAACAAATGGGATGGTTAGAAAAAAAAAAAAAAAAAAAAAAAAAAAACTGCTTTAACATTGTGTTCTGTCAGCAAGCTTCTGGCCCTCCAGTCATGGGCCCCACACCAGTTCTCTGGCCCCAAAGCTCCAGGAATGAAGTGCAGAGCACAAAGAGAAGCTTCACCGGCTTTGGTCCCCTGAATGGGCCCCTGGACCTGACACCAGACAGCAATCAGCTGCCAAACCATTCTTGTGATCCGCAATGCAGATGCAAAATGCGCCAAAGCCTTGAAGGTGAACAGGATTGAAAGTTACAGCAAACATACGACGCCTCTCCTCACCTTGCCCAGAACTGAAAAGGCAGAAGCAAGGTCCTTATTATGCGTTGGGGCATGATTATATATTTTCAGTGTCTGTATATCAGAAAACCCACATGGTAACGAGTTCTTTGTTCTGTGCTCATCAAAAGCCATAGTGACTACAAAGACTCTGGTGTGGTCTTTTGTCCTCAGCGTCTCCCGTCCCACCCTCCCTTATGGCTGTACAGGGGCCAAGGTAGAGGTCCCAGGTGGAAGAAAGGTGACAGGTAGTGGACAGGGCCCGAGAGGCTCACCAGTCTGGTTGAAGGGATGGCAACTGGGCTGTGTCATGATGGAGACCGTTCATGAGCCTCCGTTTTAAGATGAGACCTGGCTGCCTGTCTAGAATTCCAGTGTTCCCAGGAGCTATAGTGACCTTTGCTTCCAGCAAGTGGGCCTAACACCTCATTTTTACTGGTACCTGAACGAAATACAGGGCTAGGATTCCCAACACTGAGCCAGAGGGCAGTGCGGGTCAAGACTAATGGGGTGCCGGTCTGCATCCTGCAACGCCTCCCCCCACCCCAAAATGAAAGCCTTCTGGACGCTGGAAGCAAAGCCCAGTTTCCATGGGAGGCAAGGGTGGGCAGCGCCCCAGTTCTTAGCAGAAACACTGAATAGTTCCTACTAACTGAAAAAGATCTCCCTGACATACTTCAAGGCATCTTCCTCCTCCTTTTCTTCCTTGGGGCTTCTGCTACACGGAGAGTCAGAAGCCGCTGGTACCCGGGAAGGGCTGAGGCCTAGAAGAGGCGAGTCGTTCCCACTGTCCTCTTCCTCACTGCTGCTCCCGGGGGAACTGGTGTGAGGGGATGCTGAGTAGGGAGGGGAGAGCTTCGGCTTATCAGTGGCTACCAGAGACGGCTGTTCCCAGAGCTTTTCCTGTTTTCCATCCTGCGGGGCAGAAGAAATGGCAGACTCAGCATAAGCACCTTGTTTCCCTGGTACTCTGGTTTGTCAGTGATGTGAACATACTCTGAGATAACTGCAAAGCCAGCGCAGCACATGACCAAGCCAGGCGAGGGCTCCCATCTCATGAGCACCCACCTTATCTTCACCCCAAACCTCAGGATCTGGAGCCACTGGGGACAGATGCTGGCCAAGGTATGAGGAATAGCTAAACAGAAGGAAAAGGGATCCAAATGGAAACCATGGCTGGAAGGGAAGGCACAAAAGCGCTAGAGGTCCAGGCCACAAACCTGCATGGGCCTAACCTAGCTCCACTGCAGCTGGCCGCTGAGCCTCGATGTCGGGATAGCAGGTCACAGCAGCCTGGGTTACCAGGAGCACGGAAGAGATGGTGCGCTCCAGTGCTGCTCTTACTCCTTGAGGAAGCCCTGAAACGCCTGCAGCCTTCTGCTAAGGAGAGGAGCACTGGGAAGGAGTCCCTTCTCAACTGTTCGCCTTCCCAAGAGCACATACATGTCAGCTACCCACAGGTGCCTGCCTGGTCTTCCTCATAGCGACGCCCCACCCACACGTGATACATGCCACACACAGGAAGTAGCTGAGGGGAACGAGGCTGAGAAGCGTGAGCAAAAAGAAGTGGAATCCCGAGGCAGCCTAAGGGCACCTCTCTTACCAGAAGCAAGGACCTGTGCTAGTTTCCATGAATAATGGCCAGTCACACGGCTCAGAAGACACAAGCTGCTCTTACCTCAATCAAGATCTCCAGAGCCACACTGACCATTTCAGCTTCATTCATCCAGTACACAGTCTTCGTGGTGGAGGCTCTGGAAAAAATAAAGACACAGAGCTACAGCAGAGGACGAGGGACTCACAAGGAGGAAGGAAATATAAGCATCCCTTACCCCTGCCTTCCCCCAGGGAGGCAAGGTACTGCTTCTCTGAACTGAAGAATTTCCTCATCCTGGTGACCCAGGGACAGGACACAGGGATACCCACCCTCTATGGACTCTGTCACAAAGAACTGGGAACCAGATCATGGCTGGCTTCCCAGCATGACTCCGTGAAACACACAGTAGACAGCCAGGCATGGTGGCACACACTAATTCCAGTGCTGGGAAGTAGAGGCAGGTGGACCTCAGTGAGTTCGAGGCCAGCCTGGTCTACAGAGTTCCAGACCAGCCAAGGCTACACAGAGAGACCTTGTCTCAAAAGCAAAGAGTGGGCACAGCAAATACAGGCCACCAGGCAGGGGCCCAATTTCTACCTGAACGTAGGACTATGTTTAACAGAGGCTGCAACAACTGCCAAGGGTGCAGGTGGCCGGGAAGAGCCGGCGAGTGTGGCACTGAAAGCCTGGTGCCCTTTCTAAGAGAATGGCAGGGCTTCCCCCCCCCACACTTGATAATGGCAACCTAAAACTCCCCACCCCTAATTACCAGTGTTCCCCCAACTCACATCCACAACTTCAGATTTCTTGACTGACAAAGCTCTGTCCACAGGAAATGCGGACGCCACTCAGGTTACTAGAGTTCAGACCCAATGATCACTTGCTTATAATTTTTGTCACAAATGAACGAGACTAGCACTTTGGACAACTGGTTACTGAGGACATGGTTCATATACAGACCTAAAACCGGTTCCTGAGGGCATGGTTCGTATACAGAACTAAGATCTGGCCAGCAGCTAGATGGCAGGACCTCAGCAGCACAAAGGCTCTTGTGGTGTGTCTCTGTGAGGGGACAGCGGAGCCAGCCCTCAAGGCCCTGCTGAAAGAATGCCACCCAACTCATTACCCTGCCCACTGATAGGCCAGGACGGCTACTGAGAAGCCCCTGACCCAGGTTGTCCCACCTTGTCGCTGGCCTGCGGTGCACAGCCACCACCCTCTTCTTCTTGTGTGTCTTCACTGGCTCCACCTTTCTTTCATTCACAGGGGCTGTCATCCATGAGGGGAGGACTCTCTTTTTGTTCTCAGATTTTAGGGTTTCCATGGCTAGTTTTCCACACTCAGTGACTTGCTTCTCTGGTGTAGGACCAAAACTCACATTCTTTTGTCACACCAGGCTTATTGATCCCCAATGGGCATGATCTTTGATGCCTACAAAGAGGAGTCAGGTCAGTAGATTCTAGTCAGTCAAAGCTCTTTCAGTTAGCAGCAGTAATTACTGGTGAGGGTGGGGCAGGCCTGAGGTGTCGCAGAGGTAAGCAGAGCCCAGAAGGTCATGTGTAGTGTGTCAAATGGAGGGACAGCAGCAGACAGGACAAACTGGGGCCTGCAGACAAAGTTCTGTGAGCACTGCACAGCCCTGTGGCCCGGGCACTAGGAAATGCTCTCCTTTGTACCCCAGGAAGAAGGAAGAAAGCAGACTCTGGTCTCCATCTCTGCACTGCAAACGATCATCCCTGACAATCTGTAACTTCTGACAACAAACTTCTCATGTCTTCGGTAATTTGTCTACTGCCCCTGCCCCCAGGCCCACTGATTCACAGATTCCATCACCCAGCGCACCCCTGCCTCAGCCCCCCACAACATACCACTTGATAATTTTGAATGACTGTTTACAGCAACTTCATTTATTTCAAAAACAACACACACACAAAAACAAAGAAACAAACTTAGCAGGGCATCATCCTAACCTGTCCAGCCACAGAACGGAAGTTGGTAAGAGGAAGAATACAGAAGTCTATCAGGCCCGGCAGTACATGTATCATCACATCTGTTCTGCAGACAAGAAACAGACACAGTTAAGAGTTAACGTGTCCTAGAAAGCTGGCCGTCAACGGACCGGCAGCCAGGTCCTGCCCACCGCAGGGTTTCTGGAGCTCAGTGCTGTTGGGGTCAGACCCGGTGGCTCCCTGGAAAATCTCACCCGGAAGTGCTCGCTGCTAGCCTGGAGCTGGCGCGCGCTCCCTCCCACCCGCAGAGGGCGCGGAGCGGGGACGGGAGCGAGCGGGGCCGGGGACTGGACAGGACTGGCAGACAGCGAGGAGGGTGGCGCTGCGGTCCTCTCAGCGGCTTCGGGAGACTCAGGACCGCTGTTCCCGCACGCATCTGACGCCCGCCCCTTCCGGCCCCTCCGACACCTCGGCCTCCGGTGCCCCCTGCAGACCTCGGGCCGCCTCTGCTGCTGTGGCTGGAGGGCTGAGTCAGTAACTAGGGGAAGAGGGCCTGCCGGGGGATCACCAGGAAACCAAGTTTAACACGCCCTAGGAGACAGGAGGCGGGAAAAGAGCTCAAACTCCCATTTACTAAAGTTGCACATTCAGGCTGGCGGTCCCAGGTCCCCTCTGCGGGGGTGGAGGAGGCGCCACCAAGCTGCCCAAGTGTCCAGTGGGCTTTCGGTTAAACTCGTGATTCAGCGCAGCCTGAGCTGGACGGGAAAGTCCAGGGAGAGGACTAAAACACAGGAGCAGGCTGTCACAGAGAAGGCCCTTTGCCTGTCACGCTGAAGCAAAGGGAAGCTCAGATCCGATTCTGTCCGCCCCAAACGGAGCAATCTAGAGCATGTATTCTGTTTACAGCAGCTCGGCTAATCCCACAGCAGTTTCTCTTGGGGCTGGAACTGCAGTCTTTGGGTTGGGGCACCCAGGGCACTCTAGCCTGTGGAGCCTTTGACTTCTCCTCTGCCCTTTCCTGACTCTTCTTGAATGCGAATCCTCAATCCTTAAACAAACAGCCTGGGTCAGAAAATTTAAAGTGCCAACTCTAAATGGCATATACTAACGGCTTCCAATCCCTGAGTCCTTAAGCTCAGCTTAGCTGCTCTCTGAACCAGGCCAGACTCCAACCTTTCTGGGAGAGCAGGCCTTGGCTGTCAAGAAAGTAGCATCCATTGACTGAGGTAGGGTCCTCAGCCTCACCCGATGTGAGCCAAGCAAGTCTAACTGGATGAAAGGTCGTGTTGCTTTTGATTCTTAATAACTTCCCCAACCCTGCACATGGTCACCTAGCAAATAAGGCCCAGGAAGGAAACCTGTGTCCGCATACAGAGCCTATCGCAGGGAGAGCACTGGCTGGAGTTAGGAACCAAGCTAGAAGACTTGCCTGTGCTGGAGTCGACATGGGCTTTTATTATTTTTCCACAGATAAAATTGTACGTACTGAATATAGTAACAAATGTCAGTTAGCTTCATTTAGTCAGCCCGCAATGTATTTCTTCCTGTACTCCCCGACCTCATGCCGAGCTCCTGGGCATTTGAATGCCACAGCAACGGGGCTGGGCACACGGAGGGAAATGTGGATTTGCACCTGCCAGGCTTTCCGAATGAGCCAGGCCAGGTTCTCAACCCCTGGAAGAGTGGCTGAGGGTCTGCGGTTTGACCTGCCTTCAGGGTCGTGCTCTCCCCCAAGGCGGTAGAGGCCTGAGTAGGGCTCTCAAGGATTCCAACCAGCCGCTTTGAAGGGAAGGGTAAGTGTGGATATGCTTTGAGGATGGGTGCCCTTCCTGGGAGGAGCAGGGTGGGGGGGGGAACAGGTTCTGGGGTGTTCTTTCTGCATCTAAGCCTTAAAACCACTTCAGCAGGCCATGGGGGGAAGCACTGGGAAGAAAGAATGTACCGTAAGACAGAAAAACTTTGAGAGGAAAATGAAACCCAGGACCACAGACCTGGGTGACACAGATGGGACTGTGTCCCAGCTCAAGTGGAGAAATGGCAGGGAAAGAACTGACCTCTTCATGTCAGTACGGTAGTGGGCAATGGATAACTACGAGACAGCTCGGCAGGCAAAGCCACTTGCCATGCAGCCTGGCCACCTGAGTTTGATCCCCCAAAGTCACATGAAGGTGGGCAGAGAGAATCGAGCCTATCAAGTTGTCCTCTGACCTCTGCTGTGGCATGTGCCCCCACCACCACCCAACATATACACACCAAAAATAAATAGACAACTGCTATCTGGTTCTTCCTATATATCGCTTTCTACTTTTCCTTGAGCCCTAGAAGGGAGCCCAGGCCTGTACACCCCTTCTTTTCCCAAAGTAAGCACCTGAGAGTCACCACACCCCACAGCCCACAACTAGCCTGGAGTGCAAAGAAGCTATCAAATGACTGTTCCAAGCAGTCATTGTTTATGGAAGCATTTCCTAGGTAGGTCACAAGGTCACCCTTGCCAAGAGTGGGAAGCCCAGGCCTGGCGCTCTACAGTGGCTCCTTCCTGAGGCTGGCCCGAGCAGTAGGGATGACAGTAGAGGAGACTCTTGCTCCTCCCCACCGTGGGAGAGCCTGACTCTTCACGGTCCTCCCGAGTGAGAGAACGTAGGAGGAGTATGGGTGTAGCTGATCCAGGCCCAGCTAAGCCAGGCAGAGGTGCAGGCAGCTGGTATTATTCAAGCTCAGAGACCTCAAGCTGGAAGAATGAGGGAGCCAGCAAATGAGAGTGCTGAGGCCAGAAGACCCTGAGGGAGAGGGCAGCTGGAGGCCCGGACCTCAGGCCCCGCTGCCGTCTAGAGGCCCCTCCTAACCAAAGTTGACAGCTTTCAGGTTCCACAGAAGACTCTGATCTTGGCTTGAGCCCAGAAGATGGCACTGTGGTCTTCATCTCAACTCTGACAAAACCACAGGGAACCAATGGGGTTCTGCCATAAACATGACAGCAGAGGCTAGTGAGAGCTGAAGAACAAGAACTAAGGGAGGGAGCCACGGCTATCACGAGGGCCAGGTGACACACGTTCTAGAAAGAGACTGTTAGAGCATTGACTCTCATTTTTCCCCTTTAAAAATGAAAAATGATTATATACAAAAAACTGTCGATTCCTTTTGGTCTGTGAACATCTTAGCACTCGTCCTGTGCTCTGTGGCATGCTGTGCTCCAGCCACGATTCAGGTCTCCAGGAAGCATATGCAGCCCGCTCCGTATCTACTCCAGGAACTGCATCTGGATGGCTGGGCTCCCTCGCTGGTCTTTCCCTGGAGAGCCACAGCCCTGGCAGTGCGGAGCGAGAAGCGCTGTCCTGGTCTTCCCTGTTGCATCTTTCTTCCGTCAGGGACAATTCTGTTTCCACCTCACACTCCAGGCAGGACATCAGAGCTTATGGGCCAGGAGGGTCGTCAGCTTGATCTTGCCATCCATGGAGGCCGTGAGGCACGTCCCACAGTCCATGGCAGTGCTCCAGTCCACGGTGACCACAGGGGCCCGGTGGCCGCCCAGGCTCAGACAGCTCTCCAGAACTTTCTCATCACTGCCCAGCTGCCAAAGGACAGGACAACAGCATCAGCAGACATCACTCACAAACAGTCGCTCTTCATGCACTTTTAGTATCCAAAAGCTGCCTTGAGCCTGAGAGTGGCCGCCCAGCCACACACCCACCTTCCTGGAAAGCCTGGTTATACCTTTAATTTCCTGACTGCAGTCGGACCACCCTGTGTGGAAATCAATCCCTAAGATGCTTTTCAAAGGACGGCATTTCCTCTGCTGCCTTGACCTAGCTATGCAAGCGTTCCTGCATCTACTCTGCTATTACAGCAGCACCTGAAGCAACTGGCTAACTCTAGGCTGAGCCCCTACTCATTCGCTTGAGGCACACTTCTCACTGTGGGCTTGCAAACTTTGGGAGGGTAGGACCTCCGTGACCGGCTGCGTCAGCCCAAATGGGGCCTGGCCCTGTGTGTGAACAAGGCTGCCCTCCAGGGCCACATCTCCATCTCACTGTGCGCATGTGTGAAGGGCCAGATGTTAACAGACACTGGGAAACAGAAACAAGATGACTGACTGCTAGCCACACCACTCTATATGACACCCGAGTGAGTGGCAGTGGTCGGCCTTCATGAAGAGATCCCTGTAAAAGCCACCAGTTAAGTTATTTATAGGTTGTAAAGATGGAATCTGAAGTTTAGTAGACTTCCTACGTAGCTGAACCATTAATGGCATTTAAAAGATTACACAGGAAGATCTGCGAACCCATCACCTGATTATGGAGCGAGCCTGACTGTGCATCACATAAACTGATAGGGCCAAAGGCTGTATGATTTAAAATAAAATGCATATACAACCATTCCTCCATACAGATAGCAAAGAACAGCTACCCCAAAAGTCATGTAAGACAAGCCTTAAAGGGGGAGAACTAGGCTTGGAACCTGTGGTGTGTTCCAGTATCTTGAAGGGGAGGCCCACACGAGAGCATGCAGTTAACCTTTGAAGGGAGGCTGGGAACACAGCTCTGCAGAAAGAGGAGCCTTCCTGGTGGCAAGCCCAGGTCTCAGCGAGCAGGCATCAAGTCAGTGTGAAGCTCCTCGCTGCCCATCTCAGCCCCACTCAGCCCCCACGCAGAGTCCATCACTGGCTTCTGCCCATCCTGGGACCCAAGGCCTGTCCTCATCCATGTTTCCAACCCCTTCGCATTCTAGCCCACAGACTGGAGCCTCCCTCTAGGCCTTCCTGAGAACTCAGTGTCTGTCACCTACTTTCAGTGCTGCTACCTTGTGCATGAACCACAGGAGAACACAGATCACATGGCCTATCTCCTTGGTCCACTCTGCACTACAGGGGTGCCAGGCCTAGCACACAACTGCCAATCAAAACCCATGATGCTGACTGGTGAGCAGTGGTATCAAGAGATACTGAGAGGACACAGTAGAGGACCCCCTCAGTCTCAGAGACAAAACACCATCAGCAGAGAAACACCAGTGAGCACTGAAGATAGGGACCCACAGCAGACATGTGGCCTTGGGCCTTGTCATTCATCCATTGGACAATACTAGTAAAAAGGACTTATAGCAGCTTCATCAATTGTACAAAACCCCACAGTGAGCAATTCTGACTTGAGAGGTTTTGTTTGTTTGTTTAATGTATAAACAGGAACAAAAACAAGCTGGACAAGCTGGCAAGAAGGCTCACTAGATAAATAAATTTGCTGCCAACACTGAGGACTTGAGTTCAGTCCCCAGGAATCACGTGGTGGAAGGAGAGGACTGACTCCTACAGGCTGTCTTCTGACCTACACGCACATACATGTACCTACACATAAAGACAGATAGTTAGGTAGATAGATGATAGATAAATAGATGGATGGATGGAGGGATGGATGGATGGAGGGAGGGATGGATAGAATGCATTTGTTAAGGAGGTGGCTAAGTGGTTAAGGGCACTTGTTACTCTTGCCAAGGACTCAAATTTAACTCCTAGTCCCAATGTAGGGTTGTTAACAACCACTTGTAACTCTAATTTCATGGGATCTGACACTTTCTTCTTGGTACCACCACACACGTGCATAAATACATACAGGACACAAATACACACATGAATAAAAAGAAAATAAATCCTTAGACAACTTGTATCCTCGCTTGACAAAGGACAGCTTCAAATTTCTGTCTACATGTGGACTTTGAAGTACTTGACCCATAAAATAACCTATTCAAAATCAGTCATGAAAGTGATGCCGTGCCCTATTGAATGTCGTCATTAGTATGTGCTATTCCCAAGAACAAGACAAGAAAAGGGCAGAAGCTTATCAGATGCAGGGCGCAGGGCACTCAGCTACCCAGGACACATGGCTACACTCAGCTATGCAGGGCGCAGGGCACAGGGCACTCAGCTATGCAGGACACATGGCTACACTTGACTACGCAGGGCGCAGGGCACAGGGCCACACTTAGCTTGGTCGGCCACGCTACCTCCAGAGAGAAACCCCTGCCCAGCAGCACTATGCCACTCAGTTACCTTGTAGATGATGCCCCCTGTGGCAGAGCATGTGAGCATGTAGTTGCCTTCTGAGTCGAAAGCGAAGAGCCGGCCCCTGGGAACTTGAACCTGCTTGTAGCCGCTGTAGCCAGACAGGATGAAGGGCCCGGTGGCATCTGAAGGGAGGCTGTACTCAGACACCTTGAGGCCACTCTTGTGGATGTTCCACTGGATGAACTGCAGATACAAAGCACGACAGGGGCTCCCTCAGCCCCACAGGCCAAGAGCCAGACCCCCTCAGAGGCCCCCACAGTGGTCACTACCTGAAGGCAGGGCCAGCACCAACCCCAGGCAGTGACTGGCTGGGGCAACTGTCTCCCTGCCCGCCCCTCTCACCAATACAATCTTCTTCAGGAAAAAAAAATCTCACATCCAGTCCTCCTCTTTCCTCAAGAGAGGGATAGGGAGAGCACTGGCTTTGCAGAACCTCCTGGTCTTTTGGGAGGCAGTGTGCGTGTGTGGTTTCGAGTCAGCTTTATCATCATCGTTATTATTTCTTGTATTATCAGAATTAGGGCCCAGCTAGAGTTTTTGGACCTTGGAACAAAGTATAGACAGGCAGATTACAAACACATTTTTAGTTTCTCAGCAGTGTCGTCAATCACGTGCTGAATGCTGTGTTCTGTGTGCAGGTTGTGATATGGACAGTCTGGTGCATATCTAAAGTCCCACTCCTGGGGGAGACTAAGGCAGGAGCATCCTGGAGCTCAGGAAGTTGAAGCCAACCTGGAAGCTACACTATAACTTAAGTAAATATATAAATAAGTCCCTACAGTTAGGTGGGGTGGCTCACCTCTGTTATACCAGCACTTAGGAGGCTGAGGCAGGATTGCCCCAAGTTTGAAGCCAGCCTGGGCTACAGAGAAAGATATGATCTGATAAACAAAAAATAAATATTGGTTTTATAGCCACCACTTGCAGTGGCGAACAGTATCAGTATAAAATCCCACGGGTTCAGGAGGGTATATGAGACACCTAGGTTTTGTCCTACTTCTGCCTAACCTCAACTTCCGTCCAAGGCCACTGTCATTCCCACTTCATAACACACCCTTCCACAGAGGAAATCCACAAAGGGCATTGTCTCGTACTGTTTTAGGAGGTGGGGGTTTCCTTCTTACTGTTTTGGACTCTGCTCAGGCCTCTTTCCAAGTAGGATGCTGACTCCAGCCCCTCAGCAAACCCCATGCTTTGTCTTGTGACCATGACCAACCACACTCACTCAACATCTTCCCCCAAACATCTTCCATCTATGGTGAGATGAGTCAGTTTTGCCACGAGCAGGAAGAAGGATATGGAACACCCTCCTCTACAAGAACAGCCAATTCCTACTGAACTGCTTTGAGACAGACTTCTACGCATTCTTATTTCACTGAAGATAAAGTGGAGGCAGCAAGAAGTGCAAGGCACCAGAGCTCACATCGGTCCAGCCGCTGCTAACTGCTGCCGCCACCCACCTTGCCATCCTCGCCCACGCTGTACACAGCGTTCTCATCACAGCTGAAGTCCACGGAGTAGACCTCCCCGCAGTGGGCCTTCCAGCTCATGGCGCATTCGTGCTGCTGCATGTCTGAAAGAGGAAGATGTGGGAACGCCTTCGCGTACAGCGGGAACCCCTCACCCCCATAACAGCTGCCCTACAGGCCAGGGGCCTCCTGGACCAGAAAGTGCTGGCCCTGCCAAGGCCACCTGCCTCTAAGCAGCCAGCCTCCTGCCTGGGTCAAAGGGAGGATTGGGGATCTTTGGGAACAGCTGGAGTTCACCTGGCTCTATATCTAGGAAGAAAGGAGTCCTTCCTACCAGACCTCTATAACTGCCCCAGGGCACCTTGGAAATCTACTGCATAGGCGTTCTTATCCCATTTTAGAGCCTAGGCCTGTCTCCCTGGGGACCGAGAACAAGCCACCTCACAGCAAGTGAATAGGCACTGTTCTGTGACTGTTTACACCCCACACAGCTAACAAGGACTCAGGGCAAAAGACCAATGAGCCCTGCCCCTCCCATGTCTACAGTAAGCACATACCAGTGACCACTGTGGAAGTTCTGAGAACCAACGTCAAGCTCTAGAACATGCATTTGAACTGGGCTTTGGCAATGGCTGGGTCTTTGAGGAGGGGACAGGAACTGCCACAGCACACTTACGCACCAAAGAGCCGGATGACACCGTCAGCTGCCCCTGTGACCAGCAGGTTCCCATTATGGTTGAAGGCTGTGCAGTTGATGGCAATGGGCTCTGGGTCCAGTGAGAACTGAAGCTGTGAATACGAACAGAAGCACTGTTATCAGTCTAGTGCAATGCAGACCCGCACGGAACCCCCTGCCATGGCCTGCTTCTGAAAATGTGATCTGAGTATCTGCCAAAGCACACTGACCGACGTGCTCTTCTGAGGGGTGCTATCATTGGGCCTGTAGACACTCTAGTTTCTGCACTGAGGTTATAATCCATGCCAGAGCAGTGAGCAGTAACCCATATCTCAGCAGCCCGTGCTTTCTTTCCTCAAGGGGACTCCAAGCTAAGTCTTACTGAACACTCATGTTGCCAGCAGGAACTAACAGTCCATGATTACCTTTCACTACAGGCAACAGAGGATACACACATCCCAAAGCTGCTCCATCCCTTCCTATGGAGCCCGTATCTCAACAGGACCTAACAAAGCCAGAAGACGTAAGTAAGGTCTACCAAGTAAATAATCCGATGATAATGAGGAACACCATTTCCAACAATATGGAACCCTCCTGGGACTAAAACCACGAGGCCGATGTTAGATGATGTCATTCACACACAGGCACGGTAGTGAGCTGTAAATAAAGAGGTCCTCTAAGACCAAAGACAAGGGGAGGGCAAGAGCCTGTGGACTAGTGAACCCAATCGACATAGAATGCTCAGAGCTTGAAGCTCAAAGTGAAAGGTCTGGACAAGTCCAGTGTTAAAAATTTTCCACACACTGCTAATACTCCAAAGAGCAATATTCCTTGGTGCAAGAATGAACTGGAACTTCATAGAAAGTGCTAAGAAAATGCACCTCTCTGCCAAGCATAACCACAGGCTGGTGTGGATTTATAACCAAATTGACAACCCCTGTATAGTCTAAGAATAGATTTCAAAGTTGTTAGTTGTTGGGAGAGACCCCGGGCACCTAGCAGAAGTGAAAGCAAATCTTTTCCAGAGAAATGCACTCCCCCCCCCCCCCCCACAGAGAGGCCTGTATCTCCAAGGTTGAAGGGCCAGAAACGAGACTCTGAAGTAGAAATTACGGGACATAGGAAGATAAGGGGAGAGGAGAGGCATCCTCGGAAACAGCAGGAAGGAACCAGATGAGAGGTAAACTCCAGAGCTCTCAACAAGTTTAGCAAAAAGCCAGAGAGTGAAGGCAAAAGAGAAGATTGTAGCATGACCAGGCTGGGGTGTAAGGATGGCGCTGCACTCCTGGAAATGAGAAACAGGACCTGAAATCAATGTCCCCACAGGCTAATGAGAGGCCTGGGGACAGTGGGAAGGACCTGCGCTCTGTTAAAGCTGAGGAAATGATGTCATGAAGAAATGAAAGAAGAGTCCTAAGAATTATCAAATTGGTGTTCCAGAAGGCAAAAAAGAACCACAGAAATGTTAACACTTGAAAGATATGACTAAAAGTTGTCCAGAATGGAACAAAGACACAAATCCTCCCTGCACTCTGCCCAAAGTTTGGCTGAGTTTCAGCATCTCCTTCCATACCCTGCTGGGTAGAAGCTTTCAGAGGTCCCCTGTGGAAGGCTCCTGTCCTGTTCTCTGTCTTCTACTTCCGATGTCTATCCTGTTTGCCTTTCTGAATGAGGTTTTAGCTTCTTCCCTAGGGTCCTCCGTGTTGTTTAGCTTCTTTAGGACTATAGATTTTAGTATGTTTATTTTATATTATAGTGCTAAGATCTACTTATAAGTGAGAATATACTGTGTGTCTTTCTGTTTCTGGGTTACCTCACTCAGGATGATATTGTCTAGTTCCATCCATTTGCCTGCAAATTTCATGATTTCCTTGTTTTAATTGCTGAGTAGTATTTCATTGTGTAAATGTACAATTTCTATATCCATTCTTCAGTTGGGGGACTTCTAGGTTGTTTCCTGACTCTGGCTATTATGAATAAAGCTGCTATGAACATAGCTGAAAAAATGTCCTCATTGTATGGTTGAGTATCTTTCGGATATATGCCCATGAGTGTTATAGCTGGATCTTGAGGCAGCACTATTCCTAATTTTCTAAGAAAGCGCCAGATTGATTTCCAAAGCAATTGTACACGGTTATATTTCCACCCGCAGTGGAGGAGGGTTCGCCTTTCTCTACAACCTCTCCAGCATGTGTCATCCATTGAGTTTTTGATCTTAGCCATTCTGATGGGTGTGAGGGGGAGTCTCAGGGTCATTTTGATTTGCATTTCCTGGATGACAAAGGACAGTAAGCATTTCTTCAAGTGTTTCTCTGCCATTTGATATTCTTCTGTTGAGAATCTTATGGAAGAGGGGAGAAAGAAAGACCTGGAGGGGATAGGCCCTCCACAAGGAGACCAACAGGGCCAAAAAACCTAGGCCCTGGGGACCTGCAGAGACAAATATTCCAACCAAGGACCATGAATGGAAAGGACCTAGACCCCCTGCTCAGATGAAGCCCATAGGCTGCTCAGTTTCCAAGTGGGCTGTCTCTGACATGAACTCAGTGGCTGGTTCTTTGATCACCTCTCCCTTGAGAGTGCAGCCTTGCCAGGCAACAGAGGAAGATGATGCAGCCAGCCCTGATGAGACCTGATAGGCTAGGGTCAGAAAGAAGGGGAGGAGGACCTCCCCTATCAGTGGACTAGGGGAGGGGTTTGGGGGAAAAGAGGGAGGACGAGTGGGATTGGGAGGAGATGAGGAAGGGGGCTACAGCTGGGATACAAAGTGAATAAATTGTAATAAATAACAATAATAAAGAAAAATTTTAAAAAGAAAATAGGGGGAGAAGAAGGAGGGTGGGTGAGACCAGAGCCCTCCCTCTCCTAGAGCCTGAGCTGCCCAGCCTGTTGGTGGTTCTGGGCAACCTGAGTCAACTTTAGTGCTTATAATCTGCCCAAATGGGGCGTGCTACTCTTGAACACTTGAAACCTAGAAATGGTCTCAGAAATAAAACCCCCCAGGCCAAAGCATTAAAGGGAGAAAAGACTCATCAGAAACACGGGAGGGTGGGTGGAGGGCCCTCCAGACGGTGCGCCCAGACGCGGGGGACCCGCGGCAGGCCTTGTACCTGCTGCTTCATGGTTTTGGTGTCCCACAGCAGCAACCTGCCAGGAACCTGGTTCATGCCTTTGCTGCCGATATCCGGGGAGTCCGCCTGGGAGGTGAGGCTCGGAGCTGCGGCTGAACAGACGAAAGAGGCCCCATTGGGGCTGCAGGCAAGAGACAGGATTCTGCAAGATACACAGGTCGGGGTCAGACAACTGCCACCACAGGTGAGGCACACTGAGGTGAACCCCACTCCGGGAGGTGGAGCCCACAAAGCGACCGCGGCAGCCTGGGGCCTTCCAGTGCAAAGGGAGGCTCCGCTCACCTGGGCATGTCATCGTTGATGTTGATCTCACACAGGTTCTTCTTGGCTTCTGTATCGTAAAGACGCACAGTCCCCACACCACTGCCCAGCAGGAGCTGGAACAAGAAGAGACCGCAGGCTAAGGAGGGAGGACAGCACAAGGGTCAGGGAGGATTCCACGGTGAGAGAGGCCAGGCCCACTCCCATATGGTCTGAAGCTGGGCAGACTGCAGGGGTAAGCTCCTTATCCACCTTCCCAGGCAGCCAGGGGGACTCTGGCTGCAGCGGACCTCACTTAAATAAAATGCCATGAAGAGGGGCTAGAGAGATGGCTTAGTTATAAGAGCACTGGCTGCTCTTCCAGAGACCCAGGTTCCATTCCCATCACCTAGAGAGTATCTTACAACCATCTAAAACCTCAGTCCCAGGGGATCTGATGCCCTCTTCTGCCTCCTGGGGCACCAGACACATATGTAGTACTTAGATATACGTGCAGATAAAACATAAAATAAAGATTAAATTTTCTTTTCTCTCTCTCTCTCTCTCTCATTCTTTTTTTTTTTGGGGGGGGGGGAGCAGTATTCAAGACAGGGTTTTTCTGTGTAGCCTTGGCTGTCCTGGAATTTGATCTGTAGACCAGGCTGGCCTGGAATTCAAGAGATCCAACTGTCTCTGCTTCCCCAGGGCTAGGATCGCCAAGCTGATTTTTTTTTTTTTAATGTATTCTGATGTGAAAGGGGTAGGATACTGTTGAGGTGGGATTAAGCAGAAGGTTACTAGACCACAGATGTGTGTGTGTGCCTGAGTGTGTGTGTCATCATCTTCCCAGTAGATGAATGATGGGTTCAAAGTGAATACAGTCTCTCTCTCTCTCTCTTGAGAGTTGTAAAATCAAACTTTGCCCCTAATTCCCTTCATGGTTTTCTTTCTTCATGGAATCTTTCCCTCTGACATGAGCTCCCAACATGACATAGCTTGGGAGCCTTCACCAGAACTGAACAGATGCTAGAACCATGTTCTTGAGCCTACAGAATCGTGGGTTAGATAAATTTCCTTTCTTCATAAAACAACCTGTATCAAGTATGTTGTTATTGCAACAAAAAACAGACTTCTACAGTATCTGCAGAAGAGGAGGAACACTCAAAACTATGATCTTTCCTCCTTCCTTGCAGCTTTAAATCCCAGCTGTTCTAACTCTTCCTTCTCGCTCCTACTTTCTCTACCCTTCTGTAGACATGGCCCTGGTTAGTCTTGGGCCTGCGGTGACTGTTCTATTTGCCTTTGCAGGGACAGCTCTGCCTCTGATTCCATCAAGGCCTCCAGAAGTATATATATATATAGTGGGTTCTCCCTGCCTGTGGGATCTTAAGACTCATTTGGGTAAAAATTTGGAAGAAAATAAGAAAAATGAATGCCAGGGCAGCTCAGGTCTGAGGTATCCTGAGGAATATAAGCTAGGTGATGGCCTCTGCACCCACTTGGCAAGTAGGCACCAGCTCAGAGAAAGCCCTGAGATGAGCACCTTCCTTCCTGTTTTCTGGAAAAATCAGTACCTGTCTCTTGGGCTATAAGCAATCGATTTAACTCCTTAACTATGAATCCTATATCAAAAAGAAAGTCCAGTGGAAATATGAACAATGGGCCACTCCTGAACAATTGTGGGAACCACAATCTAGAGCACTGACCTCTCAGCAATGTAAGCTGCGGCTCTTTGGACCGGGACGGGCAGGTGTCATCAAGAGAAGAGTGTGTACTAATATGTACCAGCGGGGGATGGGAAGCCAGGGTCTCCTGAGACAGACCAGCACACAGGATAAAGTCTTCCACAATCTCCAGGAGTAACTTCATTGCCACCCCAGGTAGGCGCCTGCTGGGCCAGGCCAAGATATACAGTCCTGGCCCCCGTGATGGAGCTTGAGGAGGAGACTCAGCTTACCTCCTCAGCTGGGCCTGTCAAGAGCCTGAGAACTTCTAAACTTGGAGCACAGAACAAGCCTTGCATGCAAAGTGTCACTTACCAGCCTGTCTCGCTTGGTGGCCCACTCCAGAGAGAGCAGTGGTGACTTAGAAATAGAGGAAGCTTTGGTCTGCATGATGGGGTTGAAGGACCACACCTTGATGACCCCATCTATGTCTAAGCTGGCAACTCTCCGACCAGAGCAGTCCACTCTGTGACAGGACAAAGTGGGTGTTAGTGTCCTGGCCTTGTCCTCACTGTCCAAGAGTGATACCATCACTTTCCCAATGTATTAAAAATAATGCTCAAGGCCTGCCCTGAAAGAATACATGTAGAATCGTTCATGGCTCATCTTTTAGACAAAGTAAAGCCTGGTGAGCTGACTTAGATATCTGGAGCCCACGTAAATGTGGAAGGCCCAATTCCCAAGAGTTGCCCTTTGGCCTCTATACACATGTGTACATTTATACACACAATGAGCACACATACACACAACAAGAAATACATAAATAAACAGACAAATGGAATAGCAATGCACGCTGTGCCATGGGAGGCTGCGCAGTGAACTCGAGATGAAGTGCCTTCAGGGCACTTGCCTTCGGAGATCTGAGCTTCCCCCTTAGGCTCCAGCTCAATCCAAAGGCCAAGCACAGTTCAGGAAACAGGAAGCTGCCTACACTTCCAGGCATACTCCCTCAGGGGTTGGCCTTCAAGGCCATGCTTTTGCTATGTTTAAATATAAACTTACACATGGTAAAAAATTCCACGCACATACTAACATAAAGCAAATAAAACTCAGTGGTTTGAGGGAGAGTACTACAACAGCAGCATCCAATAGCCCTCTATGACCCTTTCAGGGAAGCTTCCTGCCACCAACATTCTCACACACTGTCTAGAATCCGCGACCCCAACTCCCGGGCCCACCTGCAGTGCATGATGGATGAATGGTGCTCCCCATACTCCTCCTGGCTCAGCACTATGAAGGGCTGCTCGGAGTGGCCTCCCTCAGAGCCTGCTGTGGACACCCGGGCCAGCGACTCTACTGGCCCTATGTGGAGCTCCGGGCAGGGCTCAGCCTCTGGGCCACTGCCTTCCGGCTTCTTCTCTGTACACTGTGACCAGCAAAGCAGGGACATGTCAGCTTAGAAAGGGTCCCCTCCACCACAAGAGCATACTAGACTATGGGTGGTCATGGCCACAGGTCAGCTCTGAGCTTGAGAGTGGTGCACAGTTCCCCTGGAAGAGTAGGGTGCCAGCTTCCTGGAGACTGCAATCCCCTCCCAGGCCCTGGTTGGGGAGAAGGCTAGGCTTGTCCTCTCTGACGGGACTGGGGATGGCTGTGTTTGGATGCAGAACAAACAAACGGTAATGTCCCAGTTAGATTTACTGTTGCTGTGATGAAACACCATGACCAAAGCAAGTTAAAGAGGTTTTATTTGGCTTATGCTTCCACATCACTTTTCAATAGATGGAAGTCTGGACAAGCAGCACAGGAACCTGGAGGCAGAAGCTGATGCAGAGGTCATGGAGGGGTGCTTGCTCTTCAGGGCTTGTTCAGCCTGCTCTCTTATAAAATCTAGGACCACCAGCCCAGGGATGGCACCACCCATAATGGGCTGGGCCCTCCTACATTAATCACAGATTAAGAAAACTGCCCTACAGCAGTGGTTCTCAACCCACAGGAGTCACATATCAGAAATGAAAATTCATGAAGTAACAACAAAATAATTTTGTGGTTGGGGTCACCACGGCGTGAAGAACTGTCTTAGAGTTGCAGCATCAGGAAGGTGGAGAACCACAGCTCTACAGGCTTGCCCATGGCCCCATCTTATAGAAGCATTCTTTTCAGCTTCCCTCTTCTCAGGTGACCGTGGCTCATGTCAAACTGTCATAAAAGCAGGCAGCACAACTGAGCCCTTGTCAGTTTGATACACAAACACATCGCTGATAAGCCACAACCTTTCCTTTCTTGTTCATCCCCGAGATCACACATTAAGCCATCACAATATAAAACATTTCATAAACTTGGAAAGTCCACAGCCTTACAAATTCAAACACTTCCAAAGTTGTCTCTTTAAGGATAGCTAGTCTCTTTTAAAATCCAAAGTCCTGTAAAACTACAAGTTCCTTTTTTTTTCTTTCTTTTTTTTTTTTAGTTTAAAGTCTTTCAACTGAACTCCTGTAAAAATAAAAACAAATTAAATACTTTCTTACTTCAAGAGGCAAGAACCAGGGCACAGTCATCAGACTCTGAACAAAGCAAAACCGAACTCCAACAGTGTAAATAACTCAGTGTCTAACGTGTGGGATTCACTCATGATCTTCTGGGCTCCTCCAAGAGGCTTCTGTGGCTCCGTCCTCGGCAGCACACTCAGCTTGTCTTCTAAGCTCTGGCTGGCTCCACTCCCCGCTGCTGCTCATCTTGGTGGGCATCCAAGGCACTGGCATCTCCAAATTGCTGGGGTCTCTGCTGCCACTGGGCTGCACTTTCCCCAATCGCCTCTCATAGGCTCTCTTCATGGTGCCAAGCCTCAACTTCTCCACATGACCCCTTCAATCCTGGGCCTTCAACTGCTACTGAAGCTGCACTTTCACCAATAGTCTCTCCTGGACTCTCACAGGGCCAAACCTCAGTTGCTCTCCATAACCCCTTCACGCCTTCAAAACCAGTACCACCTGGGTGACTCTTACACTGCCAAGTTCAGCTGGCCACCAAGACGAGGTACAACCTTGGCCACCTCTGGAGAGTTAGCTTCTGTATGCTGACTCTCAGGGAACACTTCCCAGAAGATTTCACCTCAGTGATGCTGGTCTCTTTTTAATCACCATTAATTCCTCAGCTCCATCTGACCAGCATCAATTGTCCCAGTAAAGCAAAGGTTTCACTTAAATGGTGCTGGTCTCTTGTAAGTCGCCACTGATTCTGACCCGACACCACAAAATATTAATTCAAAATTGCAAATATGCAATGGCTCTAATAGTCTTTAAATAACTCTCAAATTTCCCTCTGAATCATCACAAGCCAGGCCTCCATTGTCTGCACTTATCTCAACATTTATTTCTCCCAAGCTCCCACAGAACAGTATTGAACCCTCAATGGATCTTCTAGCCCAAAGTTCCAAAGTCCTTCCACAATTCTCTCAAAACCAATTTCACTGTTCAGCATCAAAGGAAGTCAGGACAGGAACTCAAACAGGGTAGGAACCTGGAGGCAAGAGCTGAATTGGAGGCCATGGAGGAGTCCCATTTATGGCTTGTTCCCCTTGGCCTGCTTCCTTATAGAACCCAGGGTCACCAGCCCAGGGTGGCACCACCTACAATGGGCTGGGCCCCTCTCCCATCAATCACTAATTTAAAAAAATGTCCTACAGACTTGCCTACAGCCCAATATTACAGAGGCATTTTCTCAAAGGAGGTATCTTCCTGGCTGATGACCTAGCTTGTGTCACGCTGACAGAATCCAGCACAAGGAGGGAAGGAGACAAGTTTACTGGGCGTTGGCCATGGGCCAGCCTCGTGCTGAGTGGCTCACGGCTAACCGTAACTTACTTCCAGATGGTGTCAGTACCACCCCGCTTACAGCTGTGGGCACTGGACCGAGGAGAAGGTATGCCCCTTCCCGGAGAGCACCGGCTGGCAGAGGGAATAACACGGAGTGACCTAGACCTGTCAAAACCTGGCCCTGACAGTGCACCCATGACAGTCTATCCTCCTGATCCGGGGACCAAGAAAACCGCGGCCAGTGGCCCGGCATGAAGACAGGCCTAAAAACCTCAGCGACAGTCCAGCACCCACCTCCCTGTGGCGCCGAGTCTCCTTTCCACAATCCCTCAGTGCTCACTGGACACAGCCAAGAGCTGCCGCGCACTGGTCACCCGGAGGCCCTGATACCCTTCCAGCTACCCCTCAGGGTAACAACACCCTAACAGAGGAGCCGCAGAAGCTCGGGGACTGCCATAGCACTCCAAAAGCAGCCGGAACTCTCCAGAACATCCCAGTGTGTGCTCCCCACCACCTAGTGGTGGAACACTAGGCTGCTAGCAATAGGGCCCAACAGGGAGAAAGTGTCCAGGAGATGAGCCAGTAAGTCACTGGGGCTTTAGGCAGAAACAGCTGGCAGCATCAGGAAGAACAGATGCTCTCTCACATTCCCAGGGCAAGGGGCCCTGTCTCCAGGACTCCCAACAGGGAAGATACGGCTATAGTGAGCAAGTACATGTCTGTCAGCACAACAGCCACACACCAGGGACTGCAGGGGAAGCCGAAGGAAGAACTGCTGTGGGACATCGCGTCAGACTCTGAGGAGATCAAGTCTCAGGTGCTGTGCCATGCTGACACACACAGGTCAGCATGGGAAGGACTGGTATGTGGGGTCCCCAGAACTTACAGAGACCTTGCTGGCTCCACTTGAGGAGAAAAGCAGGCAAAACAACCCAACTACCATGGCGTGATAACAACCAACCAGAGCAGGCCCTGCTTGACAGCAGAACTCAGGAGCCCAGAGGATCAGCAGCCCGGGCACCCTATACCTGGGAGGAGGAGGTAGAGAGCAGCTCCCTCCTCTCCTTCCCGTGGTCCTGCAGCCGCCGTTGTCGCTGATGTGTCCAGCTGGCCTCCCCAGAAACTGGCCCGCTCGGAAGGCTCTTGCCATCCTTGGCCCCAGGCACTGGGTCCTTTCCCTTGGTAGCCTAGAGGATGAGAAGTGGGCCGTGAAAAGTCTCTTTCAGGCTGTCCAGGCAGTAACTGCACCAGGAAGGACGCAAATTCAAGGGAGCAACTGCTCTCCTCACCAGCCCCCAGAAAAGGCCCTCCCAGGCTGGCCTGGGCAGGAGGCTCAACCAAGGCAGGCCTCCAGACTGAGCTCCTCCTTGCTCAGTCACCTGCTGGCCTCAGCCTGCACTCCTATCTGGACAGAGGCAGAGATAAGCCCTTTGAGCCAACAGAAACAATCAACTTTTGTTACAGTGAAGGACCCCAATTCTTACTAGCAGGGCAGGTCCTACACAGGGTAACAGCAGCATTTATATGTTACAGCATTTGGACAAGATTAAGTAGACACACACACACACACACACACACACACACACACAAACACACACACCAGCCAATCTCCTCTACAGTGAAAAAGAAACACAATACAGTCTGCTGTTTGGGGTTGCCCACAGGACTAACCTGGCAACTGTGAACACACAGTAAAATGGGCCGGGGTGGGGTCCCAGAGCACTTGCCCAGCAGTTGTGTTCAATATCAAAAACAGCAAAATAGAACAAACAAAAAACCCAGGGCCACTAAATCATTTGGTTTGAAAATGACTAAAGTACCAGACCTAAAACAGAACTACCTCAAAACTCAAGGGTCTCTGTGTCAGATAAATTAGAAAGGAAAGAAAATTTTCTGACTTTCTTCCACACCAAGAGTGTTAAGGTTCAAATCCATGGCAAAGGGATGGATCTAGAAACCTCCATCTACCCAAGACAGCCCATCCCTTTCCAAACGCAGCAGGAGGTGAAGAAACTCTTAGCTGCAAGTGCTGATGCAGGAAAATATCCTGGAGTGCAAACTCTCACAATACAATCTACCATTCTCCTATTTACTGACCCGGAGGGCAAGGAGTAACGCCCAAAAGCTGTCCCCTGACCTCCACACCTGTGCTGCAATACGGGTACACACATGTCTGTCAGTTGTCTGTCTGTCATCTCTCTTACACGCATGCGTGCATGCACACACTCGTGCAGACACATTGTGCACACACACACACACACACACACACACACACACACACGCACATGTTTTAATCTGCACTGGGATCCCACTGTATACACATCATGCTGGCAACAGTTCCAAGGCTGGCACCAGAAGCTGCTGACGAGGCTGTGGAGAACCTCTCGTCCATTCCTGATGGGAATACAAAATGAGAAAACCCAAAAGGAGATGGTAGGGAAGAGTTTTTCATGCTCTCCTTCCAGCTGGCCAGTGAGGTGGAAAGTGGGTAAGAACAAAGAGGCTAAGACGTAAGCGAAGGGGAGCCACAGCACAGTGAAAGGTCTTCCGAAATGCTGGCTCAGAGTTTCTGTATGGACAGGGAGCTAGGGGGATGGAAGATGCTGGGAGAACTGTGTATTCACTAGATGAAGGCACCTGCCTATAGGAGAGTTTCCCTCAAGGCAGCACTCTGCCTAATGACAACTACACAAATGAGTGCAGGTCTGCTGGCTAGATGAGGCTGCAGGAGCAGTGACTGTCCACAAGGACAGTTCTGACACTAGCCACTCCCATCCTACCACAGGCCGAGTGCTCCTCACCAACCACGTAAGACCAAAACCATTGGGTTTCATTTTTTCAGGTTTTAACATCTTTGCATACATACTGTGAAATATCTTGGGAATGTGACCCACATCTAAACATAAAACGCATTTATGCTTCATATACTTCTCAGACATACAGCATAAAGGTATATAATATACCTTTATATTATTATATATTACATATCATAATATGTAATACTATTATATAATGATAAACATCTTAATATATCAATTATACATATCACCTGTATATATAAAATTTTATACAATAGTTTTAAAGAGCTGCTAATTTAGTGATAGGGTGCTGGCCTGTGCACAGCCCTAGATTTAGACCCTAGCCTGGAAAACAAATAAAACAAAAACAAACAAATAAACAAACCCACCCTAGATACTCTGGCTCCCACATTCCCTGGGAAGACCCAGAGAGATGGTGGCCAGAGGATAAAAGCAGTGTCGTCACACAAGCCTGATGACCTGAGTTAAATCCCCAGAACCCACGGTGGAAGGGGACAACTGGTTCCTGCAAATTGACCCCTGACCTCTACACATGTGCCATGGTGTGTGTTCATGTGCATAGGTACACACGATAAGAATAATAACAACGATAATAATTTTTTTATCTTTAAAAAGAAAAAAACAGCAGGAAATAAAAAGGGGCCTTCCCTCACCTGTCAGGAGGGCAGCGGCAGCGGCATCTTACCACGCTGGGGCCCCAAAACTTCTAGTGTCCAAAATAAAAACATAAATGGGTATTAACAATGGGCATACAGTAAAGTCAGAGAGGCCTTTCAACAAAGGAGATTGATTCCAAGAGAGCCACGGGCCTAAGTGTGGCCTCTCAGCCGCTGCCGAGGAAGGGCAGACAACATCCTTCAGCTCTACCTGAGGGGTTCATGAGATAGCAATACGGCAGGCATCTGTGGAAAGCAGCTGTCCATGAAGCACCTCAGTAAGCAGGCAAGTGTGTGCTTGGCTATACATGTGCACAACTCTTTTAAAAAAATGTTTTCTGTGACGTAATTCATCAGTGGAGGGTTTAAGGACAAACCTCATAAAGATTCTAACTAGTGTTGGGGCTGGAGAGATGGCTCAGTGGTTAATAGCACTGGCTACTCCGGCAGGTTCCCAGCACCCACATGGAGCCTCCCAACTGTCTGTAATTCTAGTCCTGGGGTAGCCAACACCCTCTTCTGGCCTCTGCAGGTACCCTAGGACCATATGTGTTGCACACATATACATGCCAGCAAACACACACAAAATAAAAATAGACCTTTAAAACAATCCTAACAAGTGGGCTCATACAGCATTTAAATGGCCTAAATAATATCCAGCCATAATCTGCATGGCTCCCAACAGTTCAGGAGAGGTGTCTACAGCCTGTGTTTTGTTATGTGCTCTTTCTGGAGACAGAAACACAGTAACTTACTTGTCAATGCCTGGGCAGACACAGGATTCCAAAATTCTTCCTAGAGAGCCGTCCAGCTTTGGTGGGAAATGGGTCCCACCTGAAGGCCAAGGCCATCCTGAAGGCAGGACCTCATAAAGTATAAACTATAGATGGGCACCTTTCCCGTCCGGCCCAGCTCCCTGGGCACAGGCCCAAGCCAGAGCCCTTATCACTGCTGTCTCAGCGAGGCGGAGGTAATTTGCAGAGGCTGTAGGTGCTTTGCTTTGTGACAGATGATTAAGGGCTATCTCTCAGTAATGAGGTAATTCCCAGCTGCACCCTGGGGCTCACTCAGTGGGTGGGAAAGGTCCAAAAGAATCGCTCCAGGGAAGGATGCAGCAGAGTGGAAGCCCCTAAAGCCAGCTGTTATTGACCTGACCTGTTGGCTCTTGCTGTTTCAGATCCTGAGAGACCTTGGGGGCTGTGGTTTTACAGTTATCCCCCTCTCTCCCAACTCTGCCTCTGATGTCTACTGAAAGCCCGGAGAGTGTTCACAATGGTGTGAAGCCAGATGTGATGGCTCTGCCCTTTAATGGCAACACTTGGAAGGCTGAAGCAGGAGGACTGTGAGAGTTTGGGACCTGACTGAGCTATACAGTATGGGACCCTATCTCAATAATAATAATAATGATAATAACAACAGCAGCAGCAGCAACAATAACAATAATTCTACAAACATTTCCATAACTGTGGCCATAATTTCAATGACCTATCACAAGGAGGCAAAATGCTGTGAATAAAATTTACAATGCCATATGTAATTAATATGTAAATTAGGAAGGTCTAATAATTTTATATGTTGCTCATTTAACAATAAAATACCATTTACATTTTCTATGTGTTCATCCTTTAACAGCCTAAAAGGAAGATGAATTCTGTGGTGGCCATACTGGGAAAAGATTGAGGCTGACATGCGCTGGCCAAGCAAGCTAGTGTAGGGCCCGTGTCAGTGCCCACAGGAACATGCTACCATGTCACAGGACGTGCCCCTGCTGCATACCGCATTAGATGCTGGTGAGAGAGAACTCTACCACACTATCTAGACATCAGCTATGACAAAGAGACAGACATTATAAAGTCTCCCAGAGTGAGGAGCCCATGTGAGGGATGTCAAGCCATGGCAACAGGAGTAAACAGAGGTGGGGTAGCTCGGTGGAAAGACCGAAGGGCTGTTCTACACAAGAAGCTCCATTCTGTGCACCTGGGAGGGCAAGCCAAGGTCATCAAAGGTCAGCTAAAGGGCCTTTATGAAGAGACACACAAACGCTCCTTGGACAACAGTGAGGGAGAGCCATGTCACAGGAACTGATGCGTAGGAAAGGGGAGGGGTATCTTTGGAATCTACTTCCAGCTCTAACATTCTGTTGTTCCCTTGAGCCTCAAATCTACTAGTTACCACTAGAATTGAAACAAACGCTAAGCTAAGGAATCTACCATGGGCTGAAAAAGAAATGAGGATGCCGGGACTTGGTGCAGCAGGTAAAGTGCCTGCATCGTGAGCATGAGTAAGGGCCTGAGGCTAGCCCCCACACCCACGCTGAGCTCCAGGCGCAACAGGAGACACTACTCAAAACATCAGAGAGACAGAGAAAAAGACGTTCAGTGTCACTTGCTGTCCTCCGTATGTGCACACACGCGCGCACACACACACACACACACACACACACGTACACATACACTGCAAGAGACACATTCAGAGAAAAAGTTAAAAACACTTCCTTAATTCCTTTTCCCCCCAGAACGTAGTCAGCTGTGGTCGCTATTAAGGATCTGGAAAGTATGCAGTGACTCAGCTTTGGCTCGGTTGTATTTTAGAGGCAAGCTAACAGATGCTTCCCCTCACCTCTGATATACACTGCACACAAAAAATACACATCAAAAGTGTGGCCAGACTTATCCAAAGCAGCCTTTCAACCGAGTGAAGCTGCATTTCATGAGACTCAACGCTCCACCCACCATCTTTCAAGCTTCTAAAAGGCTGCTTGGCGAGAAAGACGCAGAAAGCCAACAGTAGAGCAGTCTTAGCCTCCTTCTAAAAGACCTGAAGTTGTACTGCTCAGATGTGAACTTTCAGAAAAGCAATTGCAGTGGTAGCCTGGACTGATCTCTGCCTGTCTCCACCCTCACGGATGCCCAGGTGACAGTCCCACAGCACGGTGTGATTCCTGGGACCTCCAGGAAGGAGCCCAGCTGGTACTAAAGCGTACGGCTTGGCCTCTGCTGGGCATGGCTGATACCAAGGGCACTCCTGTCGGCTCAGCTGTCCCTCCTAGGGAGTCCGCGCTACTAATTACCCCAAGCGGACTGAGGAGGGTTTGAATGTTCTGAGTAGGGAACCGTGAGCCAGAAGTAAAAAGAAAGTCTCCTGAGTCCTCACTCCCAGGGTGCTGCCCAGTGTCTCCAGCTAAACAATTCTAACTCAGACACTGTCCTGTGGCAGTCTGCTGCAGAGCCCTGGCATCCTGGGCACAAGCAGCCATCTAAACTGGTCCGTCATTTACACTCAAGGGTGGTGGAGGAGGAAGGAACAGGCTGACAACCGGTCTTTTCAGTAACTTGTCAAACACATGAAAAGAGAAAGCAGTAAGGTCTAAAACTCTGAGTCCAGTAAGCTTGCAGACACTTCGGGTATGCTATGAAGGGGCTCTACTGAGCCACATCCCCACTAGGCATCTCCAAAAGGGGTGAATTCTGACAGACTCTGCCAGGACGGCCCCTCCGTGGAGGACAACCCCTCAGTGGGATTCCTGGCTGCTCTGGACATAAGTTGGCATCAAAGGCCTCTCACTATGTAACACAAAAGTAAAGAATGAAAGAAGTCCTTCACAAAATCAGCAAACACCAATGTTTGAGGGAGAGACACACACTTAATTTACTGCTAGGCCAAACACTCACTTGTATCACTCAAAATTCCAAATTCCAAATTCCAAAACCATCAGAATTCACACTGGAGCTACCTACATACTCAAAACTTCCTGTGAGCTCCCAGGAAATCTTGAGCAGAGGAAAGGAAGCCTGCTCCCTGCTGCCATCCGACACTTCACTAGTGGAGTGTGGCAGATTTGGAGTTGTCGCAGAGGCACAGGGTTGCTGGAGGACAAAGCTGCTTGGGGCTGGGAAGCCGAGAGGGAGGGTCTGAGGTTCAGCATATCCACTGTCAGCATAGCTGTACACTCTGCCCGCCATCTCAGCCTAGGCCCTGCCCCGCCAGCCAGAGGTGACATGGGAAAGGGGTTCACTACTGGGATTTTCTGGGTTCTTTCCCCCAATTCCTCCTCTACAGTTTTATCTCTGTCCTCAGCCTGCAAAGACATCACTGGTCTATAAGGTTGTGGGGGGCATGGGAAGGTTGCAGGGAAGGGAGAAGAAAGGAAAGGGGAAATGAATTTGGGATCTCATAACACATCTAGAAATTCAGCCCTGAAAAAGAGGACCCACAAGTGCATGTGTGACAAGGGATCCTGGAGGAAGGCATGAGAATAAGCAGCCACAAGCACCCTGACAAACACTAGTAAGGCAGGGCCCACACTTACCTGACTGCTGAAGGGTTCTTTCTTGGCTGAACTCTGGGCCTGAGGAGGACCTTGGGCAGGTGACAATCTTGAAGGGCTCTTCTTACCCTGAGGCAGCAATGAGGACAGGAAACCCCCTCGAGGCGACTGGGAGAGGGAGGCGGCCCTCTGGCTGCACACTAGCGCTCTGGCCAAGAAAACACACCACAGCATTAGGGCTGGAGGGGAACCAGGGAGATCAAAGAACAGAGCTCCTGGCTGAGGTCAGTGACTTGGGCCTTAGCTAGGTGCTGAGACCTGAGCTCGGAAGGTGACATGACCCTGGCTACCATTTCCTGAGGTAAGAGCCAGGAGCTCATCTGACCCCAAAGTGAAGTCTGTGGCTGTTCTTAGACATAGGAAAGCTCAGAGCTGCCCTGCCTGCTGGCTGCTGGCTACACATGTTACTGTGTTAATCCTCATGGAGATGAGCTGGGGCGAGACAGGACAGACAACAAAGACTAAGCATGAAGAAAACTGTAGGGGAGCTCACTATGGTTGATTGCCATTTACTAGGCATTGGAATAGTTTGAGAACAAGGTTAAATAAAATATGCCACTAAAATGAACTCTGTGTGTCTCCTTTTACTTTATCCACACATCTAATAAAAACCTTCTCATTACATTTCTGATTGGCACCTGACTTCCAGCTACAGAGCTCAGACTTCTGCTTCAACTGGCTGGGGTTTTTGTAGTCACTTAAACTTCTCTCCCAGATCATCTACCTCTTTACACCCTCATCAGCTTCTCCTGGGGAAGACGCCCACCTGTGGTGACCAGTCTGCCCTCCTATGAAGCAGCTTCCTGTGACCCTGCTATCGTGGGCCCTGACACCGCTGTGCAGTTCCCCATCCCGGAAGAACCTCAGAGAATAGGGACCTTACAAACACAGATTGGAACCAGGTGTGCCAAAGCCCTCTCTGGCAATTCTGCCTCAGAAGACGGAGGGCGCCACCAGTGAGGACGTCAGCATCAGGTTCAAACCACAGAGAGATCAGAGGACAGAAGAGGACAGACAGCAGCCCTCCCTCCCACCCATAAACCCTCGAGCACACTCACAGCTCCGAGTCCCCAAGGCGGTCCATGCTGGAGACATAAGGTGGCAGTTTGTGCTGGACTACGGCCTCTTCTTCTTCCTGCTGTTGCTCTTCCTTCTTCAGCCGATGGATTTCAGCTTGCAATGCAAAAAGCTATGGAGGGGCAAGGCCCAGTTAGCCAGTGGCCTCACATGGCCCTCCCTCTCTGAGGGAGCTTCTTAGACACACCACATCCAGACCCAGCATAAAGAGCATTTCTGTCCGTCAAACAATGGGAAAATGAAAGAGCCACACCTGATGAATTAAGAAAGCCAAACACCCTTAGGTATCCATAACCACTGTGGGTTTTTTTTTTCCTTTCTATCATTTGATTTGCTTCCTTTTACTTCACTTGTTTCTTCCTGAACTCACTGAAGGGAAACCCTGCTTTGTATTTGGAATCTACAAAATGAACCTTTGAAACTTGCAGAGAAAAACATTTTTAATGATTATGGCTTTGCAGCATCTTTAGTCCTTGCCTGAAGATAACAATGCAACATCCAAGAATCTCAACACCCCAAATAGCTTACAAGCTTCCTCCTCCCAACAGTATCACTGACAGAGACTGACAAGCTGGGAGCCCCCTTGGGCAAAATGTAAAGGCAAGCACAGGCGTCCTGGACCTCTTCTTTTATCAAGGGTGTCACTGAATCAGAACTTTACCCGGCTTTTAAACAGTATGTGAGTGGCTACATAGGAAAAACACTGGGAAGATGACTGACAGCTAGAACTGGAGAGATGGCTCAGCAGTGAAGAGTGAGTGCTGCTCGAGGACCCACATCAGGTGGACCACGGGCTTATAACTCTAACTCCAAGGGATCTAACACTCTTTTCTGACCTGCATGAGCGCCTACACCCACATACCACACATATACTTTAAAACAAAAATAGATGGAAAGAGCCAAGTGTTGCAAACACACACTGCCTTTTCCTTCTTACAGGTTTGTTCTTGATGCCACAGTGCTCAGGTGACAAACCTGATTTCAAACATCGATCTCACCTCTGGTTATCACAGTTGGCACAGCCCCAGATCCCCAAGAGGATGACACACTTTCATCTGAGAACAGTTCACCTTTTCTATATTTAACCAGCTCCCCAACTGCTACCCAAAAGCAGAAGTACTTCCCAAAGAGCACGGCTGCTCAGAACAAACCTTCTGACGCAGAACCTCATTTTCTTCTTGGACCTGGTTGGTCCTCTGGCACTCAGCATCAAAGTTCAGGATCACAGGAACCGGTGTGCAGAGTTAAAGAGTAAGTTTCTTCCCATCAAGATTTCAAAGTCCTTCCCAGGCAAACATTCAAATCTAAGACACGAGGCACAGAGGACAGACCTGGCACTGTGGATAGGAGTCTCTTCCAGTCCCTGGGCCTGTTACTCCAGACCACCTCACTCTTTTGAACTAAAAAACACATGACAGTCTGCCTGGCCAGCTCTTACATAAGACATAAATCCAAACTTGGGCAATTTCCCCCGTGCCAGCAGTAAAGAGCTAATAGTCAGTGAACTTCACAGTCTAAGCTTTAGCGAGGTCCGTGCCAACACCCAGCTAAAAGCAATACTGGAAGCAGAATCCGCCACTAGGCTTCTCCCTTCTCCAGGCTGTAGCTCTCCCTGGCAAAAATTTAAATGAATAAATCACTCTGTAGATTACATAGCTCACAACCCTGAGCGCTCCTACACTCCAGCTGGTCCTTTCCAGCTGCGGCCCAGAGTTCTGATGGAAGCACAGAGCAGGCAGGGCCTGTCTTAGGGAGGCAAACTATAGCTCTGATGTGCATGACCTAGTTTGCAGGGTCATGACCTGTTTTGTACAGAAAAGAAAATAAGCAACAGGTTCCAGCTGCCCTGGAGGGCCCATGTGGTCATGCTAAGTTCTTTGTAGAGTTCTCAGGAAGAAGAGGAAGAAGGAGAAGAGAAAGGCAGATCTGGTGAAGGCTGATTCACACTTATCCACAACAGGAAGGAAAAAAACAGCAAAGGCAGGAACCTCCATCAGAAACTATCCCTCCCAGAGGTTAGACGGCTCCAGTGGGTGGGCCTCTACCACACCCACATTTATCAGGGCCTTACCAGGCAGTCCCATTTCGAATAAAACTGCCTTTTCCCCTAGATTTTCAACCTAGTAAGCGTGAACAAAGAGACATATTCTCACATCAAATCTTGGGCCTTCAATAATATAGTCGTAGGCAGTGAGCTAAAGTGTCGTTTTCTCTCCCTCTTCCTCTCCCCGGCCTCTCTCTGTCTGTCTCAAACACTAGAATACATGGTCTTAAAGCTGCTCTATACTCTGGCAAGTTGAGGCCCACTGGCAGAAAGCTGAAGCTCGAGCAGTGTTTTCATCTACCACAAACCCCCATAAACATGCACAGAGAGGGTACCCTCAAACCTAGCTGCTCCTAACCCTTGAGGTGACCAACTGAGCCAGGTATCAGCACCCAGAAGCTGCCAACTTCCCTAACCATGTATATCAGCTATTACTGACAGCACAGATGCAGAACTAAGTGTCTGGCCCCTCACATGACACATGGCAGAGAGATATGGGTATTTTGTAAAGAAATGGCTGCATCATGAGCAGTGGCCCCTGATCGCAGTCTGGGTACCTCAGACTACGGCCACAGCCACAGGCAGCAGAAAGGATATGCATGCACTGAAATAGGACGCTCAGGAAGTTGTGCAGAGAAACAATGAAAGTGTCGGCCCACTGGCGGGAAAAGTAGGTAGCGAAGGTGGGGTTGGTGTCTGGGGATGGCAAGAAGGGCAGGACGAACCAATCCTTCCACTCAGCTTGGTTCTGGAGCTCCGTGGCCTGCTTTGCAAAGAATTCCTGTGCCTTGTCATTTCTATTTGTCTGCCAAGATACAAAGGAGGGTGCAAAGGAGGGGAGAGAGACAAGTCCACAGGTTAGGTTCTTCACTCTGGCAGAGCAGGCAGCTTTTGAGTATCTCCTGGCCAGGAACAAACCAATATCTTAAACACAACATGAAGGAAATCATCACCCTTCTCTCATTTCAAAGCTGATTAATACTAAAGTTCTGGGGCTGGGAACAGTTCTGTTATGAGAGCATTTGTCTTGAAAGCAGAGAGCGCTGGGTTCGAGCCCTAGCACTGAATAAAATCAGGCATGGTGGTACTTGAAATATAGAGGCAGAAGGATCATCCTCAATTACATATCAAGTTCAAGGCCACCCTGGAATACATGAGATCCAATTTCAAAATCAAAAATAATCTGAGGCTCTAATGACAAATGCCATCCTGAAAACTACTCCCTGGTTAATGTTCAAATAATCTAAATAGGTTCCCCAAATCAGCTACATTTAATTTTGTTTTTTCCAAGACATGGTTTTTCTGTGCAGCCTTGCCTGTTCTGAAACTCACTCTGGAGACCAGGCAGTCCTGGAACTCAGAGATTCACCAGCCTCTACCTCTGGGATTAAAGGCATATCCTACCACTATCTGGCTTCGGCCACATTTTTTTTTTAATTCACAGTTTATATTTTTTAAAATGCTACACAAGTTTACATGCTTAAAACCAAAGAGACACAGAACTGGGGAAAACAAATCAAACAACAGGACACGGGAGGCAGGGAAACAGTCAAAAACAAGAAGTACCTGGATAGTGTAGACAAGATAGAAGCGGAACAGGCTGGTTTTCAGTTTGTTGATGGTAGGTCGATAGATGTCCTCCAAACGACTGAAGAGCCTTCGTTCCAGGTAGCTCCAATAATCCCGAAGAGCAGCCAAATCATACACCTGCATCAATTGTTGCAACTGGTCCACGATCTTGTCCACCTGGTAAGAGACAGCATGGTTAGCGGTGGCCAAAGAAAAAGGACATTCCCACCTCACTACAGATAATACCATTTTGCATTCTTCCTGGGGCTCCCAGATGTAAAGAAATACATACCAGTTGGCAAGCTATAAAATTTCTGAAACATGTTAACATAACACTTTAAATTATTTTCTGATGCTCGATATACGACTTGATGCTCTGGCAAGCTCAGAAATTCAGGTAAGCAAGCGCTTTGGCTCTAGTTGTTGGCTCTCCTTGACCAATTTGGCAATGTCACTTCAACTGTGCTCTTGATTGCCTCACATTGCAAAAATAAATAAGAGCAAAAGATCATGAGACAATCTCCAGGTCCTTCACCCAAGCTTCACATTTTCCAGATTCCAAGAAACAGCTCCCTTAGCCTCAGTGGTTGCTCCCTTCAGCCAAAGACAATCAAACCAGAGTAGCCAATCTGAAAAATGCTTTGGCTACCAAGGTCCATCCCACAGGACACTGCTGTTTGCAGCAGAGAGATGCTTTGCCTTGCTACCTAGTAACCGCTAACCTCCCTTGGCAGGAACCAATATCCTAAATTCCCTTCGATGCTCACTACCTCCCTCAATCCACCTGACCATGACCAACTTAACTCAGTACATACAAACACACAAATCATAAGCAAAGAAATTCCAAGGACCTTTCAGTGGAAAATTATGTCAGAGAAGTTTGTGTTTTAAAAAGTGCAGAGAGGTCTCCCTGAACTGCAAGAAGGAAAATTGCCAATGCCATTCTATACAACCCTCAAAGACCTGAACCCAGCTAGCGTTCCGGGTGCAGCCCCCTTTGCTCCCGCTGAAATAGAAAGCCAATATTTGAATATTTCTTCTGCTAGAACTCAACTCTTACAGCGTCGTAGTCACGCCGGCCAACCACTGGCCAGCACCTGCTGAGAGGCTGGAATGGAGTGAAGCCCTGGACCAGGAAGCAGGGACCTGAGTCCCGATGCTCCTGACTCACTGAGCAGCTTCAGGCAAGTCACGACCCTCTCCGGCCTCAGTTCCTCCTATGTCACCGAGGCCAGACTCGAGATGTCTACAGTCCCCTACCACGCAGTGACAGCGCCGCCCTCGCCTGGGAGGGCAGTGTTGGAGCAGGAGGCCCGCTCCCCCGAGCCGACTCGGCCGCCCCTGTGGGCCACTCACCCGGAACCCCTTCTCTTTGTCCGCTTTGATTTCGGCATCCAGCTGTCGTAGTGTGTGCGTGAAGCCACGGAAGAGCAAGTACTCCCGGACCAGCTCGTCCGTGCGCTCCACCGCCTCCGCCATCGCTGCGCGCCCGCGCGCCGCTAGGGACCCCGGGCGGCTTGGAGCGGAGGGGCGGGGCCTGGCGGAAGGGGGCGGGGCCTGGCTCGGGCGCCCGCTACGTCACGCCACAGCCAGCCTACCAATCGGCGGCCCCGCCCCCGCCGGCGCCCCGCCCCTCACTCTCTGTCGGGTCCCTGAGGTACCCTCGGCTCCCCGGAGATTTCTGGTAGGGCCGACTGTCTCCTGAATTGCTGACGCCGCTGCCGCCGTCCAAGTGGGGCTGGACCTTGCCAACGTTCCAGATAGTCACGGGGTGGGGAGGGAGTGAAGTTCCCAGCTTATGGGCATGACACTGCAGAATCTTTGGTCCTCTGTCCTCCTCTCACAAATGGAGAAAATTGGAGCCACCACAGGTAAAGTGGCCATTGTGAAGTCAACTCCCAGAACCCCTGCTTACTTCCACCTTTTTGTTTTGTTTTGGTTTGGTTTTTGTTTTTTTTCCAGATAGGGTTTCTCTGTGTAGAGTTGCCTGCTTCGTAGACCAGGCTGGCCTTGAACTCACTGAGATCCGCCTGCCTTTTCCTCCCTGAGCGCTGAGATTTCAGGCATGTACTCCCATGCCCAGCTCTCTCTCTCTCTCTCTTTTTCTTTTCTTTTCTGTGCAGTGGATTGAACCCAAGGCTTCAAACATGGAAGGCAAGCATCCTACCGCGGATCTGCAGCCCCAGCCTTTTGTCATTTGGTTTGGATTAGGTTTTTGTCACAGTCTCACTATTGCCTACACTGGTCTTAAACTTGCATTAAAAAATCCGCACAGCCAGGCCTGTCTAGCCCTGAGTTCCTGAGTGGGAAGAGTTAGGTACACCAATCAAGATGTACCACTTAGAGAAAAAGGGCCAGTTTCAGAAGTGTGTGGCCTAGGGTCCCAGTTTCTTGTTTGTTTTTTAATTAATTGTATTTTTGTGAACATTTTTGAAACTCAGGAAGATTATAAAACAACTTTTATTTGTTTGCTCTGAATGACTTTCAGTTCCTCTTTTTTTATTTTTAGGAAATTGTTTGAGGTTTTTACCTTATTTCTTCAACTTTGAAATGGCAATGATAATTCCCACCTTGCAGAGTCATGATGCAGATTTGATAAGACAGTGCAGGAAGGCCAGGCATGGTGTGGACTGTGGAGGCACAGCCAGGCAGATCTCTGGGAGTTTGAGGCCAGCCAGGGCAATACAGTAAGAGCTTACTTGATTTAAAAAAAAGATAGCAATAAAAAGATGGATGTCTTTATGTATGTATGTGCACATCCAGGTGTCTCTGCTCACGTGGGTGTCTCCTATCATTCTCTACCTATTGCTTCTGAGGCAGGCTCTCTCCATGGAACTGGGACTCTCATTTTCCTGGCTAGGCTGGAAGCCAGCAAATCTCCACAATCCTGCTGTCACTGCCTGACCCAGAGCTGAGGTTGAAGTTATTTATAGGGACATCCAACTTGCTACATGGGTGCTGGGACCCAAACTCTGGTCTTCATGATTGTGGAGCAAGCACTCTTAACTACTGTGCCTCCTCTCCAGCCTCAAGGGTAGTTTTATAATAAGTGAAAATCAGTCTCTCTGTGCCCTCTGGAATGCCTTCAGGCATTCAGGAGAGCTAGCTGTCTTTTCTCCTTCTGGGGTTTGTTCAAATGTCATGTGTTAGATGTTTTTGTCTGTTTTCCTAACAAAATGTCATGAACTGGGGAGCTTTGAAACAACAGAAACTTAGTTCTCATAGTTCTGATGCCCAGAAAGTTGAAAATCAAGGCTTGGATGTAGCAGTTTTTAGGATCAAAGGCAGGGCCCTACAGCTCTGTCAAGGTAAGTTCAGTCATCAATCCTCCATGGTCAAATAAATAAATAAATAAATAAATAAATAAAGGCAGAGAAAAGAGGTTTGTTCAATGTGGCCATCTTGGAAAGAGGAATAAATTTTTCCAAAACTCCAGTGACCCCAAGTCTTTGCTGTCTTGACATGAGGTTCGGGTTGAAGTGAGGACTAGCAGTGTGCAAGCAGGCCCAGGCATCTGTGTGGTGGAACTGCATCTTGACGGGTGGGGATGCACACGTGGGATGAAACGCACTCATACAGACGCAGGGAGCTCAGTAAGTTTACTGGCTCAAAAAGATCAGCATCCTGTGAGCCGTTACCAACCAGGAAAGCCAAGTAAGCGCTTCCATAGGTCCCTCTGTATGCTTCCTTCGGGTCGATATTCAAACACAATGAAGTTAATGATACGCATGTACACGTTTGTACTTGTGTTCATGTGTGTCGAGGTCAGAGGTCAATGTTGTGTCTTCCTCGATCGCTTCTTCACCTCATTTTTGTGAGACAAGTCTCTCACTGAACCTGGAACTCATCAGTTGGCTAGACTGGTTAGCCAACTAACGCCAGAAATTCGCCTGCCTCCTCCTTCTCGGTGCTGGGATCACAGACACGTGCCATTACACCTGGCTTCTTGTGTGGATGCCAGGGATCCAAACTCAGGCCATGTTTGGTACTAGGTGCAGTACCATTACTTTAGGTAACGTTTTATACTCTCTATCTAAACACAAAAATGTTAACAAGGATTGGTTGAAGGAAATAGACATTTGTAGGAATTTTTATATTTTCTAATATTGTTCTAATTCCTTGAGCTTGTTTGGAGGTTCTAGCAGGGGAGCGCAGCTACTCGTATACCCTTGACCTCCTGTATTCGGGGAAGGTCGTCCTCTTCGACTGAGTGCGCAGCTTCGGGAGGGACGCACATGGAGCGGTGAGGGAGGAAGGGGACACACGCCTAGCCAGCCAGATCAGCCGAATCAACCCTGGCGATCAATGGGGTGACAGATGTCGCAGCCAGATCGCCCTCACATCCTTGTTCTAATTCCTTACTACAAATATATATTCAGCTTAATTTATAACTATAATGAATGAAATATTTAATAGAAGCATCTCCACTTCCCATATAGTTGTATCTCTTTTTTTCTTTCTTTCTTGAGACAAGGTCTCTGTAGGTGGTGCAGACTGGCCCACAACTCCATACATAAAACAGGCTATTCTTGAACTTCCAGTGATCCTCCTGCCTCTGCCTCCCGAGTACTGGAATTACAGGTGTAAACCATCAAGCCTGACTATAATAGCTAACTCATTCAAAGCTCTTAACTAGCCCCCCACATTTTTACACATGTATAGCTGATGAACTAAATTTTTCCCTTTTTCTGTGTATGTTGTTTTGTTTACAGTGGTATGGGGAACTGAACAGGACTCTTCATGCACACCAGGCAAGTGCTCTACTGCTGAGCTGCTGTCCCCAAGCCTCCTGCTGGAACCTGCTGGCAGCCTCAACCTGGCTACTACTAATACAGGAAACAGACTGCTTTCTCTCAGATCACAGACTGTTATCAAAACTTCCCGAGGATCAGGTCAGAGGAGGAATCTGCCACCCTCTTAATTACCCTGCCTTCCACGAAGGGCAGGGAATCACCACTTGCAGAGGGCAGCCAGCTGCCAATAAAGCTGTTAGGCTCACCTCGGGAATTGAGTGTATGAGTTTATGAGCCTATAAAATGCATTATTTTCACTGAAGAAACACTTTGCATCTCCTAATAAGTAGTGAGGCCTTTGCAAAGGCCTACTGTGGGAGATCTTGGGGAGCCAACTCGGCAATTCTCTGGGCAGAGGTATTCCACCCTCTGCTCCTCCCCTCCCACAACTTTTCCAGGAATCCTGCTCCTCACACACCATCCCACTGCCTGTCAAGAGCCACTGTGCTCCTTGGGAAACTTTCTGTTCCCTTGTATCAGGATCTGGGAGAGTGACCCCTCTCTGGTGAATTCCACTGTCCTGTGAAGAGGGCATGTAAACTAGCTACCCGTCCTCAAACATCACCCCAGCTTGCTCTGTACCTTCAGGACTCCCTCTGCAGTAATCTTGTTGCCAGTTTAAAAAAAAAAAAAAAAAAAGACATAAAAAAAGAAAAGAGATGTGTTGGCACATGATTGTATCCCCAGCCATCAGGAGGCTGAGGAAGAGCTGCAGTTTGAGGCTAGCCTAGGCTACTCAGTAAAAAACAGGTCAAAGAGAGAAAAAGAGGAGGTGGGAGGAGGATAAGGAAACTCACTCGCAAGCCCCACCTGTGGTTCCCCTTTTTACCAGCTTTCCTAGTACAGGCCGAAATACCTTCCTAAGAGTGGTCTCTTGAGCAGAGGGCCCAAAGTCAAGTTCACTGGCTCGCTGTACTGTCACCTCACAGCAGAGTCAACTGAGTAGAAGCTGCAGGGCACACTTTTACAGCTGCTGTACATAGCACTTTGTCTTCATTGTGGAAGGACACTACTAAATTGCTGAGGGCTTGAATAAACAAGAGAAATCTCTCTCCCTCTCCCTCCTTCTCCTCCTTCTCTTCTGCTCTTGGCCATCAGAGACCCCAGGGCTTACACCAGCGTTCTTCTGCACTCAGACTTCCAGCCTTGAACTGACATTTACTTCAGGCATCCCAGGGTCTTGAACCTGGAAATGCCCTGTCATGGGATTTCTCCACCTTCAAAATCATGTGAGCCTTGGCTCCATTCATCTATTTATTTGTTTATCTAACTATATATCTATCCATCCACTCATGAGCCATCACTCTACTTTTGTTTGCAGGATTAAAAAAAAAAAAAGATAGAGTCTTGGACCTGTACACTGTAACAGATGAAATGGCTAGAAACCAATTAGAGAGAGATGGCTCAGCTGGTAAGAGCAATTGCTACTCTTGCAGAGGGCCTGGGTTCAGTTGCTGGCACCCACAAATTGGCTCACAATTATCTGTAACTCCTACACCCTCTTCTGGCACCTGCCAGACATATATGCAGGCAAAACATTCATACACATAACATTTTTTAATGCTAATTTTTTTAAAGCTAGGACCAAAGGACCCAGACCCAAAGTGGCCCTCTGAGTTAGTCTAACACAGCAATCTTGAAAGGCTTCCTGTCAGGAAGGTGCTAGCTGGATCTGGGAGGAGGGATTGCTTTCAGACCTGGAAAGGGAGCAAGGAATTTCAGACCGGATATGACACTGTAGGGATGAGGATGTGGTGCACAGGACATACATGGGAGGGGTGTGTTTTTAAAGATTCTTTTTAAGTGTGTATTTGGGGTGGGTGTGTACAGGTACCTACGGAGCCCAGAGCATTGGCTCCCTGGGGGTGGAGTTTTGGGCAGTGTGGGCTGCCTGGAGTGGGTGCCTGTCCTTTGGAAGAACAACATGCTCTCGTAGCCCCCGAGCCATCTCTCCAGCCCTTGTGGCGTGGAGGTAGGACAGGAGCTATGTTGCATGGAAGCAGAGGCGAAGTTCAAAGAAAAGCAGTGGTATGGATATTGCTAAGACCCTTGAAAGTCCCTACCATTCAGGAGCAGGGCCCTGATGCTGAGGAATTTCCCAAAGACTTCATCCTCAATAAAGAAACCAGGCTGCTGCAGGTAGGGTTAGAATGATCCCACCCCAGAATTACATTTTTTCAGAGATGCCTCCTGCTTCACAGACTCGGAGCCCACTCTGCTCCCAGTATCCCCAGCAGCACTAATGGAGGTTTGAGCAGAGCGGGGAGAAAGATTGTAGGCACAGGCACGGGAACCACCGGAGATCCCTCGTGCTCTCAGAAACCCACATCAAAGGCTGCCCGAGAGTCAGAAGGGATTGGTCATGACCCAAGCAGAACTTTGAAGAAGAATGCTACATTTTAAATTTACCTCCAAGGGGGGAAGAAGCAGCTGCTCTTTGGAGGTGGTTGTGTAACAAGCATTTGAAGGAGGGCCTTGCTGCCATCGCAGGCCACACCACCTTGTTCGGTATCATTCTGGCAATTCGCTAGTGTCTTCCATTGCTCACCACTGCCAGGCCACATCCCTACTAGTTTAGAAGGGGGCTGGTAACAGGGTCTCTGCTGGTCCCCACTCCTGTACCTTAAATACCAGGTCTGTTTTCTGCCAGGAGCAAGCACCTCACTTCCAAGCTCAGGTAGGTGTCAATTTGAGGTCATTTTCCTTCTTGGCTGTGGTTCCAGCTGTGCCCCACCGTGACCACTGGACAGTTTTCATTTTGTTGTTTAAAATATACAACCCACCAAAAACCATTTGAAAGACGACACTGTGACTCACTAGGTTCAATGAATGTTAAGGCACCTTGTTGCAGGCTTTAGACGGTCACTGTGAGGTAGATCCTGGCTTGCAATCCAACTTCTGGTGCTCCGAAAGCTCTGGCTGCTTCTGCTACTTCGGGTGACCTCCGTTTGACCCCTGCGGGGGGTGGAGAAGGTGAAGCAGCTCACCTCAGGTCAGACTGCAGGAGGCGCCCTCCCTCCTGCTCGCAGGGAGCCTCTCACCTTCACCTTCGAAGGGGCCTTTCGTTGCTTTCTTTGCTCTCCTAGTGTGCCAAACTGATGTGGCTGCACCAGGGCCATTACAGATCTCTCAGGAGACAAGAAAAAATTTTTTAAAAAGAAAAGGAAAAAAGGAGAGAGGATTAAAGATAACGGCATATCTGATAGGAGGTGGAAAATGAGTCGTGGTCCGCCCAAGCCGGGGGAAACCCATTGCTTACCGCATCGCATCGACATCTGAACGCATTCTCTCTTTTCTTCTCATTTTAGTGCGACCTTTAAGGTCCTCTTCTCTTCAGTCTTAGGTCCCTCCATTCCCCTCTCCTACCTGTACCTATTCTGTCACACACATCCTCACCCTTACTTCCTTTCCCTTGGGACGGGGGGGGGGGGGGGGGGGCTGCTACTGGGTCCTGCAAGGTGACTTCTCTATCCCTCAAGAGAGAGACATGGGTGGCACGGCCCCGGCTGAGGGATGGGAGAACTGGCGCCTGCCACCCACATGAGGTGAGAAGGTCAGCTCGCCCCTTCCACACCCTCTTGCAACCTGTGGCAATTTGTTACAGTGTTTCCACCAGTGCCCACGCTCCCATTGGCCCGCCACCCGCATCCCCATTGGTTGTGGGGGTAGTGACAGGGCCGTGATTGGTCCCCAGCCTGCGGTACCCGGTCATTTTTCTGCGGGAGACAAGAGGCTCTCTTCACACCCTGCAAGGGCAGTCGGCAGTGGCTGGCCCGTCAGGGCTTCGAGCGGCTTCCTGCGTGTCCCGAAGTGGCGAGGGTGCAGCGCTGCACGCTTCACCATAGTGGCCTTCCTACGGGTGAGTGCTCAGAGTGGGCGTGGGTGCTCCTGAATGCATGGGCTGATGTAATGAAGGGTGGCCGTGAATCTGTTCGCACGAGCTTGCGTGTGTCACCCATGACTCCCAGAGCATGTGTGCGTGCCCCCTGCGACTCCTAGAGCGTGTACATGTATGTCACCTGGGACCCCTAGAGCACGTGTGTGTCACTCGGGACTCCTAGGCACGTGTGTGAGTCACCCACGATTCTTATATGTATGTGTCACCCGTGACATGATTAAATAGGCATGGGAATCAAAGGAAACCCACACTATCCAGCACATTGTGGTCCAATAAGCAAGGCTAACACTCAAATGATTTTTAGAGATATTTTAAACTTTAAAAAATTGACAGTTTTTTCTGAAACCTAGGGGAAAAAAAGACCACTTTTTAAAAATTTAATCTAGGGAATTTTAAAATTCAATTAATTTAGTTTGGTTGACTTGTTCATTAGTTTGGCTTGTTTGATTGAGACATCTGGCCTTGGGGAACTTTATAAAATGTTAGTTCTGAGTTGGTATTAAGTGGAGTTAGTACAGAAAAAAATTTGGCTATGAAAAATGTGTTTTTTGACTGTGTAATAGTGGCATACACCTTTAATCTCAGCACTCAGGAGACAGAAGCAGACAGATCTCTGAGTTCGAGGCTAGCCTGGTCTACAAAGCAAGTCCAGGACAGCCAAGGCTACATAGTAGAAAAAAGAAAGAAAGAAAGAAAGAAAGAAAGAAAGAAAGAAAGAAAGAAA